CCCTTGGAGTTCTGGGTACCATCCACATTTTTAGTGAGGATGGGTTTGGCAAGCCATTGAGTAGGGATTCAATGTTTTTGTACAAATCCCCAATCAATACAAGAGATTTCTGCACCAGAATCAACCAGTGCAGCAGTTTTGACAACTTTTTCAGTTCTTTCTGATGTGTAGAGGGAAATCAGAATTTGCATAGTACAATCTGGAGTAGAAGATACTAGTACAGGTGCAACAGAAATAGAACTGTCCTTAGTCTCAGGAACATCTGGCATCAATGCAGAGTTCCCTTTCAAAAATCCATTCTGAGTGCTCTCACAAAATTTACAAGAGCAACAGATGGACCAGTGACTTTTTCTTCATTGTTGCTTTCTTCAACCTCCACAATGTGGCAGATTTTCTTTACTTTCTTCTGGGGAGTTTTCCCTTTCTCAGGACATTCTTGAGAGAGGTGTCCTTTGTTTCCACAACCAAAACATCTTCCTTCTTTGATGTGATGGTCTCTTTCTTCCTTGGAGAGTCTCACTCCATCCACATCCATGGTGTTAGGATCTTTTTCTTCAGTGAGGTTATTCTTAGGATAGAACGTCCTCTTTTCTTTCTTTCTGGAAAGTTCATTTACCTTCCTCCACTTTGCATCGAACTTTTGTGCTTGGGTGTACCACTCAGTGATCTTGGTGGGAGTGGTTTCCATCATGTGGATTTGGTTCACAATGAAGGGTTTGAGTCCTTGTGAGAAGAACTTGATCAATGTGATATCTTCTGTGATGGTTGAGTCAGCAGAAGTGGTTCTGAAATCAGTGATATATTGCTCCACTGATTCTTTCTGTTTCATGGTGAATAACTTGGTAATAGCAGCACTGGCAGTGTTGGAGGAGGTGAAAGAACTTTTAATGTCTTTCATAAAATTGGTGAAGGTGCTAAAACTCAGGGGGTTCTTTTCCAGAGAGGTTTTCTGGAAGGTAGCTGCCCAGGAGTGGGCAACACCTTTCTTCATATACAACAAAGTGTAGACAACCTTTTTGGTGTCACTGTCATAAATCTCTTCATTTACCAAGAGATAGGTCTGTACAGAATACAGCCAGCTCATGGTGTTCTTCTGGTTGCCATCAAAATCAGATGGGGCACCAATCTTTAATTCAGTGGCTTTGGTGGCAACAGCACTGACCATTGCCTTTGATGATGAACTGGACATCATATTCAGTGGTAGAGGCAGGGGTGTAGGAAAAGTGGTGGCAGGTACTGGTGGGATGGGAGTACTGAGTGTAGCAAGGGACTGGGTAAAGAGGTTTGAGAGGATACCTGAGGTAAATCCTCTATCCAGTTGTTCTGGTTCATTGGAGGAGGTGTTGGTGACAGTGCTCTCCTGTTCTTCATCAGATGACAATTCTTCATGAGTGGGTCACAATGGCACCCAATGTCAATTGTTTTGGGGGTTCATGGTGGTGCACTAAACAGTGACTGATTTGGCCAAAGGCTAGCCAACATGAGCTTTTGTTACACTCGACCAAAGTCAAGACATAGGGAGAGCTCAAATGCAGACTATTGATTTCTACTGAGCAATGGCTGCAGAAACCTCTGTAAACAACAGAGGATTTTGGGGCAATGCCAGTAAGAGTGGTCCAGGTTAGGGATACTGAGGGCAAAGTTCTGAGAATGCTGCATATAATTGAGCAGCTCAAGTCTGGGGTTTCCAGGACAAAAGCCAACAGACTAAATACTGTACAAGAGGCAGACCATGAGGCATCTGTATGTAACAAGGTAGTTACACCATTGGTTGGACAATGGCAACATGCATTTTACACATGTAACAAGAAGATAATGCTAGTGGTGGAAATAGAGAGCTGTTGGATCAACAAGAAGATGGCTCAGAAAGGAAAGACAGTCCAATGGATCAAACACAAGGTAAATGTGAGAAGAAAAGAGGAAACAGGGGTGAAACATAACACAAAGGGCTTGGGCATTGGGGGTCTGTGGGGTAATGGGAGCATAGATGATCATGTCTCCCACCCATTCATCCTCTCAGCAAAGTTAACAAAACACCTCATGAATGGGGCTCTGATGGAGGAGAGGGAGAGGGGGGGACATCTTCTGCTGGATCTTGCAGTAAGAAGGCAAGATGCATGTCATACTCATCATGGATGTGATCAGGGAGGGTGGAGAACAGTAGATTATACTGCAGCTGTCACAATGTGGGGAGAATGATGGACAAGATTGGAATAAAGACATTGCAGGGAGCAGGGAAGAAGGATGCATATGCTTCATCAAGTGGGGAGACCAAAACAACCACATAAGACCTTTCTCATTGAGTGACAGACCTGAGGCAACCAAGAATGTCCTTCTGGAAGTCATACTGACAAGGAGAACATGCTGACCAAGCTGCATGGGATGAGACAGGGCTGACAATGATGGGATGTACCAGGGGGCTTCAGGACAGAAGCTAGTAGGGATGCCTGGCAGATATATGTAGCCACTGTCATTGGCAAAGGAGATAAGCAAGATGATCAACATAGAGGTGGCCATATCTGACAGACTTAGCAAAATGAGCATCTGATGGATGGAGTGCTGTAGAAATGTGTAGGGTGTGAGGATCCTTTCCAAACTTGGAAGGCAGGATTGTGTGGCTGAGTACTTTAAGTGAGTGTGGGAACAGAGTCAATATCTTCAGAAATGGTGGAGATACAATGAAAACTGGAATTCTGTACATGAGCACTAAAAACTTTTGATGGGTGCTTAACTTGCTTCCTCTTTTCTCTCTATCACTGATGACTTGTTCTTGTGTGAAGGATGACTGCTAACATCCAGCAATCCTTCTACACATGAGGACCATAGTCTTCACCTCCACTCATGGCATTGTGTGCAACTCATCAACAAGTTAGGCAGAGTCAGCTGTAACAATGTCCACAATACCTTTGGTGTGTGACAGTGCCATGCAATGTTGACCTGGAGTGTGCCATTCAGAATATTTTGCAAACTGCAGACCCAAATACCATTATGAAACATGAGATTCAACATCAACTGGGGGCAGCAGTTTGTATGTTGGAGCACCACATTATAGTACTTGGGGGTTAATTATGCAATCAATACTGTCCAACATGGCAAGGACATGCTCAACATTTAATTTGCAGTGTGACATAGCAGACCTTTGACATGATTATGCCAATGATATTATATTACCATCTTTGGTGATTACTAAGATGCCAGTCTATGTTAGGATGGAGCAGTATTTTTCAGCTAATTTTTAATACTCTTGATCTGCAGCCACAGCCATGCCCATTCACCACAACCATGCCTGTTCACTATGACCATGCCACAGTTGTACCCCTCCCACAGTCCACATATGTTCTGCCACCTTCATATTCCATCCCTCCCAATACTCCAGAGGCATCTCTGTCTTACTCTATGCCATCCACCTCCTCAGCTTCCTCCACTGCACCCCCACCATGCACTAAGACTTGACCATTGTTGCCATCAACAATGACCCTACCAATTCATTACTTGTTCTCCCAAGTCCCACTGCTAGGTAAGTTCCATGTCACTAAGGACATGTTGAGGATGCTGAGATCTCCAGCAACAGCAACCAATCTGCTTGCTCTTCTCTGTTGTTGGCCCCACCAGAACACTGCACTTCCAAGTGACTGAACTTTATTTTATGCAGACAGTGTCATCCCCCCACATGTACCTCATCACCTCCTCACATGCAACACCATCCTGAGGTCCACACCTGTTGTATTCCACCCCTGATACCTAGATGCCCCATGACCTCCTGCCTCCTCTGTGCCTTCACCTTGCCCATCCATGCCCAGTGTTCATCCCTTCCCAAACTATTACAGTGCACTGATAGCCCTCAAGGCTTGGTGAGGTAGGTGGCTTTCTCAATCAACCACAGTCAGTTCCATCTAACCATTGTTGGGCATAGAAGTGCTGTCATTTGCAACCTCAGTGTTCACTGTATACTCATCTGCACCACTAGTACATTATTTCATACATGTAGTGTGTTAGTCCCATAGTTGATTGAATCCATGGTTCTCAACAATAGCAAAAATAGGAACCCAAAAAATGAAAATGAAAACATGAAGATTATAATAGGTGGTGAAGCATGGCCATGCATGGTAATGGTGTCTGCAGTATTGTATGTACTTGTGTACTCAACAATGGTGTCATGTGCTTAATCATGCATATCAATGACATCACCATCAGGCACCATAACTGTGACATTACCAGACATGGTTATAACACCCCCAAGATATATACTATTGACCCCTTGGATGACAAAGCCATTGTCAATTAGATCTCCCCCCATGGTGACCCACTGTCATGCCTGAAGCAAAAACACCCCATTACAATTATGTACAATGGCATGTAATGGTACCTAGATTTTTCTGACAATGAGAGTCATCTGGAACACCAGGGGTAGTGATAAAATGTGTTAGAAGTATATACACTGCAGGACAGGCAAACTGGAGTCAGGAGTGTGTTTTTGTGCACATGTGTGATTTAGTCAGTTTGAGAAGGGCTCATAACCAGTTGTAAGACTTATCAGACACAATCAGCATCATAGACACAATGACTACATTAACAATACCTTATCAGACATGCTACATGATGTAAGTGAGTGTGCACATCCTCAGGGGCTACCATACTCACCCCAGCATTGTAAACACAACAACTGAGGTGTAAACTAAAGCAAACAGCTCTATAAGTACAGGTGCATTGAGCATGTGACCATCAACTCCAACACATCCTGCCTTCGGGCATAGTTCTATTTCCTTATTTGGGTGTGAACTCGACATGTAGTTTCAACAGTGACAGTGGTTTCTGAGTTTTTGTCATGTTTGGCCCCTGCCCTTGGAGGTGCAAACTGCTGTAAATGGCAGGGGTCACCTTTTCCTTGCCATGTACTATACTGGAAACCCAGTGAAGCTATCAAATATCACAGAAAGTTGCAATGGCAAGCTCTTGAACATTTTACCCTGCATGGGGTCATTTGCACACCTGGTCGATGTCACGAAAGTTGATATTCAAGGAACTCGCATTATCTTTCAGACAAACACCCTTAATCTCAAGATAAGCAGGGCACGTTGAGGCCCAAGATACACTGTGGTAGGCTACCTAACCGAATATGGGAATACCGTGCGACGGACAAACCCACCGAAGGGCCCAGTCACGACAGTCACGGCGCACCAGCGCGCCGGCATGCATCCCCCCCATGAGAGCGTTGAGACTCATCAATATATACTTCTATTCAGAAGGGCGTTGAAGGTCCCGTTCCTCTTACGCTTGGCGAGGGCACGTTGAGGCCATCGTGCAATAATGCGCTTAGTACCTGAAGAATGTTTAAGTGGTTGGTATCAGAGGACTAGGCAGAAGTACTTGCCTGTAGTGGAGGGGCTTGTATGGTCCCTGGGCGGGGATATCAAGATACTTGGACTGCTCGGGAGTAAGCTCGGTCAACTTGACGTTGAGCTGAGCGAGATGGGCACGCGCGACCTCCTCGTCGAGCTCCTTAGGTAACATATGAACACCGAGAGGGAATTTCTCGGGCGTTGTGTACAGAGCAATCTGTGCCAACACCTGATTGGTGAAGGAGCAGGACATGACGAAGGACGGGTGGCCAGTAGCACAACTACGCTGCAGTTAAATTCCCATTGACAAACGACGGCAGCAAGTATACTCACCCCAAGTTAACAAGCCGACCCTCAGCAAGGAGGATGATGTGACGGCCAGAAGGCATAGTAAAGCGATCGACCTGTGGTTTGATGTTCACTACCTGGGTTGCGTTGGCCTTCAGCCAAGCAACATCAATTTCAACATCGAAGTGTCCAATGCTATTCACCCAGTTAAGAAACGTGCAGACGATCACCAAATCAACTCACTTGCTGACGATGGCATCCTCGGGCATGAGGGTGAAGTGCTTCGCCGTGATGATGTCGCGGTTGCCCGTGGTAGTAACGAAGACGTTGGCGCGAGAGGCCGCGTCCTCCATGGTAGTGACCTCGTAACCAGCCATCGCAGCCTGAAGCGCATTAATGGGGTCGATCTCCGTGATGATGACTCGTGCACCATACGAACGGAGAGACTCGGCACACTAGGGATACCATCAGAACAGGATACCAGATCCTGGCGTCAATATACACACCCCCTTGCCAACATCACCATAGCCGGCGACTACAGCGACTTTACCAGCCAGCATAACGTCCGTGGCACGCTTGATACCGTCAACAAGAGACTCCCGGCATCCGTAGTAGTTGTCGAACTTGGACTTGGTAACCGAGTCATTAACGTTGATAGCGGGAACCTTGAGTTTGCCCTCCCGGAAGGCTTTGTAGAGGTGGTGGACACCCGTGGTGGTCTCCTCAGAAAGACCTCTGATGCCTGCAATGGATTAAGATTAAGATCAATAAATTTAACCATTTCTAGTAACACACCTGCCAAGTACTGCGGATATTTTTCGTGAACAAGTGTGGTCAAGTCACCTCCATCGTCCAAGATCATGTTCAGTGGTTTTCCACCGGCGAAGCCAGCAACGGTTTGCTCGATGCACCACTGGTACTTCCTCCTCTGTCTCGCCCTTCCAGGCGAACACGGGAACGCCAGTTGCTGCAATACTAATTAGCGGCATCAGTCACCGAAGTAGCAAGTCCGAATGTTGATCTTACGCAGCAGCAGCGTGATCTTGCGTGGAGAAGATGTTCTAGTATGCTTTTAGTTACACGATGCTGTCACCCATCCTGGAACAGACTTACACAAGATGACCAAGTAACTTCGGCTCCAAGGGCAGTCAAGGTTTCGATCAGGACAGCGGTCTGAATGGTCCTGCCGAACAAGTCAGCGAAAGCTGTCGAGATGGGACAAGTTAACACACATGTGAAGACAGCCTGCGATGCGGGCGCCAGCCAGAGGCTTGGAGGCACCATACTGTCAACACAGTCAGGGTAAGTACTCTCCGAAATGAGGATGGGGAACCTACTTTGGACCTCATGAACATGAGTCCTGGCATTTCATGCTAACGAGATGATAAACTATCTAAGATCTGTAAGAGACAACAAGACTGCGTACCTCCGCAATCTCGATCTCCTTGCGACCGAAGGCAGCAAGAGAAATGTCTACAACCTAGGCTTGAGAGAATGTCTTTGTACAAATGACTATCAAACCTACCGGCGACCTTGTAGACCATTTTTGAGGGGGGAAAAAGAATTTGGGGTGATGAAAGGTGTGGAAGAGAAGGGCGGCTTCGGTGAGAGATCGATGGCCAGCTTTTTATCTGGTGGCTGCACGTGGCCCATAAGAAGCATGGGTCGTGGGAATATATCTCATACAGAGACCCGAAGTGCAAGACATTCTTCTCAGACAAGTCTCGGAAATTTCACAAGGTGCCCTACGGACACTGTCTTGTGTGGTGAAAGAGCTGCTCCGGGCGGTTCCACGAGAAGAATATCACTTTCACTGGTCCAGGAAGTGCGGAATACCTTACTATGAGACAAATAATCCACAGTCACATCCCTATTCGTCAAAATATAAACTGTATAAGTTGACAGGCATGTTTAGAGATCTACTCTAGTGGCCAACGTACTGTAATGGAAGCATAGCCGTAATCATTCCGTAGTATAAAAAGTTTGGAGCAGAGTTGTGTAAAGAAAACACTGCATGGCATTCTCAGAAGTCCGAGTCCTGGAAATCTGCTGCAGTGCTAGACTTGAAACATTGGTAAGAGAGACTTCATCGTGCCAGGATGAATATGTACGTTCCACACGGCAGCAGATCGTAGGGAAACTTACCCCAATTCTGTTAGAAGGTTGGTATAGGGGCATCACAATCGTTGGCAAATCCACGCTCCGCTCCGGTAGCACAGCTGTGCAATGGGCGGTGGTAGAAATACGCGCATTGCCGACTGGGCGTGATGCCTATGACAAAATTGGGCAATACCTCTTAGACGCATCTTGATCTCGGAGTTCGCAGCTGCTAGGTACGTCCATTTTAGTATATTTTCATGAAGGTTTTTGGCGCTGGCTTGTAGACAAGGCCTCTTTCCGCTAGCTTCCAAAAGACCCGGTATGAAAACACTCGAATTCGTGTAGTTATTCCAAATTTCACGAAAATAATGCTTTTTGCTATACGGACGATCAAGGTTCGGGAGGTTGGTGGGTCCCTAGCGCTGGCTGCCATCAGATAACAGCAGAAAACAGCAGAAACCCTGCGTTGGGTAGTACATAATTGTGGGGGCAGGAGTAATCATCCCCCCATGTGTCATTTCCCGTTTGTAAGGTTCCTATCCAAAATGGCCGCCGCGTCGGGCCATCCCACAGCGATCGTGGGCCTGACTGATCCCTCGAGGACAATGGTGTCGCTGTTGGCGCTTCTGGGAACATACAGAAAGCAGAGGTAAGACATGAGGTAGGGCGTTCACTGGCACTGAGCAGCTCCACACTTGCCGCGAGTACTTATATACAGGTGACAATGTGTCCTTGCCGACGTTCGCAACATGCCTTTAACGACGAATCTGTGCCTCCGGACTTTCTCGGCTATCATGATATTCACCGTCCCGTCGTACCCGCAGGTAACACAGCCGGCGCCGCGCTGACACTCAGCGACAACGCAGGACATCGCCCAAAGGGGACCGATCAAAAGAGTTTGATGCGTAGCTATCGACCTGAATCAGACTCTTCAATCGTACAGCCGGTTGTGAAGTTCCCCAGTACACAGGCTGTGAGTCTCTTGGTGATCTTCCCTACGCGACTGACCCCTTGCATTATTAACACGCGTATGCCAGCATGTTTAGCATTGATGCCACCCTTGTCCGTTCCTGTTCGATATTTCAATTATTGCAGTGGCTGTCTGGTCGCCTGTTTGACTTATGATGAGGGAGATGCTAGGACAATCATAGGCTCGTGTGATAGACACAGCCAGCCGCATCCACGCATGTCTAGCGGACGTTAAATAATCCTCAGGAGTGCCCACCAAAACTTGGCTTTTTTTCACTTCGTTTCCCCGAGCCTGTTCCTTACCGCACTTGAGAGCGGAAGCATTTGAATCAATGTCAGATCGCCAGCACTCTATGACCCCATACTCCACCGGTAGGGGAGCCCCTGGCCCAACGTCATACTCGACCAGCACCACGCATGCTGGCTCCTCTTCGTATCCTTCTGCTGGCACCTATGTAAGTCGCGATAACAGTCATCTCTGTGGCATTCTGACTTGGAACTGCCAGGGCAATCCAGCGGTCGACCTCCGCCCTCAGTCGGCCACTTCGAACATGGACGTTGGGCCTGTGTTAGGTGGTACATATCGGAATATGCATCCTTTCATGCAAGACCCCACTGGCATGGTGCCACGCCCTCAGTCAGCGATGCACTCCGGCCACACCCGCTCAGGCTCCATTGTGTCAGGATCTAGCTCAAGGAGTTATCACAATCAAGCTGGTCCCTCGTCCAGGCCTCTACCCCATGCTTCCCCGTATGCAGGCCAAGTTTCACAATACCCGGCTAGTTCGCAAGATATCATGACTATGCAAGAAGAAATCAATCTATTACAAAGGAGAATAAAGGAGCTTGAGATCGTTAACGAGCACGGTCGTCTGCGCATTCAAGACTTAGAGCGGGAGTTGGCGGGCGGTTCCGCGATGCCGTCACTAACCCAGGGACCTTCCATGTCTACCCTCCCCCGTACGCAAACGACACCAACACCACCCTCTATACTGCCTTCGTGGAGGGCAAGGACAGATGCTCGCGTGCGCCTATTGTGCTCTCTCAACCGCGCGGGGAATGCACTCTGTGCATGGCATGATTCCAGACGAGAACGCAGGACATATCCTCCTCGCATGGCCCCCCCTGGTTACCTCAACTGTGGATGCACGTTTGAGGAGGCACTCTTCGAGGAAAGTCTGTCTCGACACGGCGTTGGAAGCTATCATCCGGGAGAGAGTGTCCGCATGGATCCCGCATTGCGCAACCCACTATTCCGTCTACTGCAAACTCGGTACGGATACCAAGATGGTGACTTCGAGCGGGACCCAAAAACGGGTGAGTGGGTCGAGGGGGAGGGGAATGCCCTGTGGGAAAGAAAGCTTGCCCAAGGCGCTATGAACGTCAGGAAGAATCGAACGGAGGAGCGTCGCTGATTGAGGCTGTTGTAACTGCGCTCGGGTCTCGGAACATCATGACATGTTTGCATTATTTATGATCCCTCCGGTGCAGCGTGCTTAATGCGCTTAGCAACCACACCCCATCCCGGATATCTACGATAGATGATAGACACATTTTTATTTCAAAGCATGTATTGTAACATCTCGTCTGTGCATTGCAGTAGTTTGATAGTACTTTACGTATCGTTGTTGATTCTGTCGGTTTTCCTTGAACAATGTACACACTAAGTATGCAGCACCTGTACTTAAATTTTAAAGAGTAACTTGGCACGCAGTGGCACTGACGTTCGGTGGATATGGCCGACGGAATGGTCCTGAGCTGTCGGGGTAATTTCTGCTCCGGGATCCACGTGATGGAGTGGCAGTGCCGAATCCCATGTGTGCAGAGTCCCGAAGTCTTCCTCGTTCCTCCCAAGTAAGTGCTAGTCCGGATACCAACCTGTCCATGGAACTCGAGTGGTAAGCTGTCGATCGACGGCTTTTGCCTCATTGGACGGATCTGGTATCTAGACTAGGTAAGTTCGTTTTCTTGCTGTACGTACATACGAAACCCTGCTTTTGCTGGAAGCTATTGGCTCGGGTACCAACGGTGTTAGTAAGTCCCTCCACAGCCCAGACGAAACCAACGATGATGATGACGCTTGAATACACGTAGTCAGCGTCTGACTAAGTAGATGGTGTCAGAAGGAAAAGCTATCCTAATCGCGATTGAACGCCTGCGTGAATCGACATCAACACTTGCTAAGCTCCGAGCTTTCCCTAGAAAAGTAGCCGTACTAAACAGTTTAGTCGACGGTATCTTGTTCAATACATTTGTCTGGCGAGAGATGCGGCACAAAATCTGACACTGACAGTGTGTTCCCATGCAGGACAAATGACGAGCTTTGATTGGTGGTTGGGTATGGCACCTGAGCTAAAGGAGTTCCAAATAAACGTTCCAAGGGACCAAGAGCAGCTTTTTGAGCGCTTATTAGGTTTCACTCAGGGTTGGTTTGGCGCTAAAAAGTTTGCGTCCGACGATCGTGTGAAACCACTCCACCAGAACCACGTCTCTCCCTGAACGTCTCTCTGGGACCTGTAATCCACCATTCCTGCCACGTTAATATTGACGACCTAATAATTAAGCATGTCTGGCAAAGAAATGTTTACGCTTTCATCCCTTTCACTTACGTCGGCGGACTGGGATCGCTCCGAGAGTGACATTCACCCCCCTCCGAATGGACGCGTTGCTTCGAGTGCAACACCGCGGAATTCAGTGGTGTTTCCGGGAAATGGCACAGAGGATACTCCGGGCCGGACTTGTGGGGGGAGGGGAGGTCGGTCGCTGAGTGAGCTGATGAGGTTACACGCGGAGAAGGGGACCGATGTGACATTTACTGCTGAGGAAGTGTCGAGTGTCGCTGACGTTCTTAAGCAATGGGTTAGTATTCTCGTGACGTGTTGGGCATTTATTTTTTTCGAAGTCCAAGGGGAGCTTCTAATCGCGATTACTATTTTGCAGATAAATTCGGGGACGTCACCCTACGAAGGCGAAGATGATTTCTTTTCGCGCTCGCATGACGACTCTTTGCTGGCATCCAGGCGATCTTCACGGCACCCATCGGACACATTTAGCAGACCTCGCGGTCAGAGTGAGAGCACAGTGGTACCGCGATCGCCAAAGCCCGATGCATCCTTTTCATGACCAGCCGCTGATTCACCTCTCAATCCTTCCCTCTTCGACCCGAATTTTCTCGTTCTTCCGTGGTTTCTTTCGGTCTCCTTCTAGACTTACGACTGGCCTCACGACTCACGACTACTTACGACCTGTTACGACCGCCATGACTACCTTATTTGTATTCCTTTTCCTTGGAGCCAGTAGAGCAATACTATTCCTATCGGGACAACTTTAGGAAATGCATTTTTGGGGATGTCTGATCTACCAGTACTAGTACTTGACAGTCCAACTGAGGTTGACTATTACGTCGCTGTGATTTTTCCGTCACGTGATTCGTGCGTTGAGTTTCCACGTGCCCAGTGGTTGTTCCTCTATTAGCTGAGGAGATCATGGACCAACCCGAGCACGGACCAGCTTTGGCTGATGGCAGTGATACTGGCCAGCACGCAATGAATCGTAAAACTCGTAACCCTACTCTCAGGAATGCAACGAAAGTCACCCGCCAAGTCTGCGAGACAACAACTCCCATCTCCTCCTGCCGATTCGCCAACACGCAGAGGCAGCCGCTTCAACCCTGGCTTGTTGACACCTCCTTCAAGCCAGGTTCTGGCAGAAGATGAAGCGTTTAGTCCTTCGAAACACCATCGGAAGTCACCGGTGAGTAGCTGACAATATTTTCTATCAGACGAACAGGACTTATGGTGGCTAGTCCAAATGTCTGAGTGCCATTGCCCGGACACGTGCGTTCAATCCACAACCCTCTACCCCTACGCGACAGACAGCATCAAGGTCCGAGAAGCGTAAACGGGCGACTCCGTCAGCCTCTGATCTACGCTCTCCATCTCCCAAGAAAGCAACTACGTGCATGTGCGGGAGCCGTGCGAAACGAATTCTCTACAAATCAGTCCATGCGAACAACGTCAATGTTAACTACTTGCCACTTGGCGAGTGTCCGAGTCGCAAATGCCGAATGCGGTCCCGATCCATCACTCCAGCGTATGAACCTCCCGGTGAGAGGTTCACGCCTCCAAGAGAGATAGAAGTCGTCAGACCTCCCATCGAGACACCAACAGCAAAGTCGATTAGACGGAACGCGTTGTCCAAGGTTAAACAGGTATCTCCACCTGTGAAGAGCGAACCACCAGAAATCGATCTCACTCAACGCCCACGGCCTCCCTCTCCGGGTGAGGACCCGATCCTCCTATCGGGCAACCGCCCTTCAAAGAATCCACCTCTTCGTTCCCGCTATACCCCATCTTTCTCTTCTTCCCCATCTTTCAACCATCAATTCACTGATCCGCCTACGTCTTTCGCCGCGCGTCTGTCGGGAGGCCGTGTGAATGACTTTGGGGATCTTACAGACTCGGATGTGCTTCCTGCCCCCACTATTCTAGAGGCACATGACCAAATCAACGACGATGGATGGAGCGATTCAGATGACGACGGCTTTAATCTCACCGGCGAGTACACGGGAAAGTACAAAATGTTTAAGATTCCTACCAAGGCAGATCCCCCGACTAGTGGGACTAGAGAGAAGATGGAGTCATGGGGGAGACCCCTTAGTCCGTTCCCTTACAGCGAAATCCTGGAGAGGTCTCTTCCCCTGTCCGATATGACGGAGGAAGATATACTCGAGGATAATGACCAGCATCCGGACACGCAAGCACGTAGTAAACCGAACGAGAATGTATTCTTCCCAGTGGCCGAAACTTCAGCGCCTCCGCCACCCGCTCGAGCAGATGAGGGAGTGGATGATTCCTCGGATGGTGACGAGGGAGTTGAGGCTGATGTTGTAAAGGTCACCAGTGGAGACCCTCAGACAGCTGCCCATGCTGCGGCCATATTGAATCTGGTACATCAGGAGCCTTCACTCCGCTAGATCAATACTCACATTAATAATTTCAGCATGACTACGACTGCATTATGGCAGCATCTAGCAGTCCCAAACCTTCCAAGCGCAAGCGGCGTAAAACCTTCGGGAATGCAGGCATCATCAAACCTTACACGGATTTGAAGGAAAGGCGGCGCACCATGGACGGATATAGGCTTCCCACACCTTCTGCGGACACAACACTACATGACATCTGGCGCAGCACCGAAGATAGCGTCCTCGTGGATCAATCTGATCGCGAAAGAAGTGGACAGTGGAGCCGGAAACACTGGAAACATTTGGACAAGTGCCTCGTCGCTGAACGACTGACGGTTGGCGCATCACTCCATCACCCGGCGGAACTTCTCGCCCCATTCGATAAGATTTCCAAGGATCGAGTCCTGGACAGGTTTGTCGCGGAGGTTGGAGGGACCGAGGCGTTACACAGCTTTGGACCACAGTGGTCTAGGTAAATGTCCATGATATTTTTTGTTCCTACAATTGGTAACGTCACATCACAGACCAAACTTGATGCTGAGGTTGGAGATTCTCATCAGACGACAACAACGGTTGTCTACTGCGGCTCGCGCGCCCTCGCGGCATGACAAAGCGGAATTTAGCAATTTTGACCGTGCACCACCTTATGAAAGCCTTCTTCAACAGGCCATTGCCGTCACATCATCAACCTATGCGGATGCCGGAAGTAGCACGACTCTCCGCGATGCGTGGACTGCAAAGTCGAGTGAACGGGGACCTAGGCCACTGCCTACGTGCCCGAGACCCAGGGCGGACCCGAGAGCGCCAATTACCACGCCGTCCCGCCCCGCTGGACCAAAACCTCCGCCTCCCAAAGAGCAAGTCCATCTGAGACACGCTAGTCTTCCAAAGAAGTCGATGATACCTGTTCTCGTACGCCCTCGGCGCCTCGTCGACTTGAGACACTGGTCACCAAGCAAGCACGCGCGTGAACAAGTGAGATCTGCGATTCAACCGCGGAGTAGTGGCGGAGGTGGTGTGAAGGACCTCATTAAATGTTTTGAGGGGCTGGACCAACTTAATTCATTGCAAGGGAGCAAATGAATGATCGATTTTTTGACCTAGTATTTTGTTGATATCTTTGGTCTACAACTGCAGGGCAGTGTGTTTGGTGTTGTACTATGTACCTACCTAGGTTTCGGAACTATCATAATCAGTGGAGTATTCAGGAGACACGCTACAGAATGATTGTATGGCACAAATATTATTCGATGCGTCGCAGGTGTCGCTATTCATAATATCCATGTCTCTTTGTAATTAGGGTCCAACTGATGGCCGAGGCGTGCGTATCTGTCCGGCAGCAGCTGGTAACAACACATCCCATCAATAATGCGATACACACTCAAGGACTCACGTTAGGCCAGGTAAACGACGACTTAAAACTTGGCTATTTTGATTAGTACTCATAGGCCCCTCGAGCAGGAACGAGATTTGCAATGCGAACGTGTGCTAAGCTGTAAGTATACATAGCCACTGTTGCGTGTTTTGGCGTTTCATGAGAGTCACCGGCTGCTTTAACCTTAATAGAGGTAAGTCCACGCAGCCTTATGGGTCAAAGCGATGACTCGGTGAGGGAAGCATTCTTGGGCCCCTAAATCCGATCGCTCTCATGCCAATCATTCAACACGGGCCTGAAACAGTATGTAGGCAATCCATGAATTGTCCGTTAGTTCGCAGATAGTGGCGACCGCCATTCTGCCCGTCATGAATTGGAATCTTTTATGAGTCGCGTGCACCCTACAAGCGTCCGTTTCCGCGGGGGCCCTTTGAGAAGTAGAGAAAACTCCTTATCGGAGTCTGAGTCCGTGATCTCAATAACTTCGAGGTCGACCGCAGCATCGCGCGCGCTCGACTTTGGCGTTGATCGCGGGCGCACAGGAGACGATTCTATACTACCCCATACCGCTAGTTCGTCTTCAGATGATTCCTCTTCCCCTGAGTCGTCCTGTTCCTCATTTCTCCCCTCAATCCGCACCTTGGAACTGCGCCCTTTCCCAGCGGGTGTCCGTTCGGGCGACCTGGTCACTGGCAGCGGCGAGACTCCCTCTTCTTCAACATCATCCTCGTCATCATCACCATCTCCTCCAACCAATCGCCTTCTCTGTCTTTCTGCTTCCAAAAAATCGCTGAGATCGTCTGCGTCTGTAGTGGCAGAAAGTGGTAGCATGCCACTTAGCAGCGTCTCAAAGTTATCGCTGGAAGCCTCTCTGCGCGGTAGCATGTCCAACTCGTCCGCGTCCTCGTCCTCTTCTGGTTCGTCTTCGCTGATCTCCTGTTCGTCGTCCCCAGCAAAGCGACCGATGTCATAGGCTACATTTGCGCTCCTAAGGACGCCTCTGTCCTTGATGATAGCCCCGCTGTATAAATCGATGATGTCGTCCTCGTCCATACGCTTGTTATACCTTTCTGCGAGTTGTGACCATACGTTTAGAACGCGGAGAGCAGAGGCTTTGCGCGCCGAGTCAATATCGGTTGGTGGCGTGGAGTCTTTAGCCGATGTGGATGATGATGACGGTGTGAGACGAGGCCGTTTGGCTGGTCGTGGGCTGTTGTCATGTATAAACGAAGACGAGGACGGCGACGAATCTTTTGGTGTTGACTGGTAGCGGGATTTGACTTTGGACATAGTAGTACTCATTGTTATTAGTCCGTTTGACTTTGGGTCGCGTCCTGTGGACTGGGGTATGACGTCACGTGATCCATCACGCGGTTCTCCATCGCCGCAACAGAAAACTAGTTTCAAGCAGCACAAGGTGAGTTGAAAATGCAAAGATGAGAAGGAGTGTGTAGCTTTCGGACGTCGGTACGAAGGGAATCAAAGAGATATTTCAATTGGTTCGTGGCGCAGACGGACTCAAGTATCGGAACTCAAATCGCAGCATCGAGTGCCCGAAGCTCACTATACGGTTACAGGTTTTTTTTTTCATCGATGAACCCGGTGACTCTGATTTCCATCTATGTGGTGGTTCTAGTCTCAGACAAACTACGGCTGCAGTCGAGATGATTGTGGGACGAACACAATAAGGCGAGTGACATGCTTCAAGCCTCAGGTACGTATCCATCTCGGTGCGTTCCTGCAGTGCTCATAATTCCCTCAGACGTGTCGATGCCAAGTCCCACATGCTTTAATGTGACAGAAATTCCTGAATTCAAAATTCAATTTCATCCGAGAAGTGGTCGACCACCACTTTATCAGCCTTATGAAGAATTCCGCGCTCGCAACGAGAGGTCTGCATCCCCGGTTGATGAAACACCCTGGCCCCCATTTTGCGCATTGGGTGCTTCTAGATTGCAGAAATTGCACTTGCTGCACTGCTCGATCAGCAACGTCAAATCTCTGCTGGATTTCATTGCTCGTGTCACACAAGGAGCCGTCCATGGAGTCACGCTCAAGAATGATGAGGAGCTTCGCAAACGTGTAATGCAGCTGCGATGGAACTCAGTCCGGTAAGATTTTGAAATACTCATTCGTCGCCATTCGTACTACCTCTTTGAATAGTTCTCCACGGTCGAAGACAGGGCACCGTACAAACAGGAGGGACGTATGTTCGAAGTACACGTTCGCTCATTGTGGGAGTGGGCACTCCATACTAAAATCCATTCCTCGGTCTGCACTTCAATTGGGATGCACAACGACTTAACAGACACAACGCTGTCGGCTATGAACGTTTTTATGGCGAGCCCTGGACTGGAGATTATTGGTAGGATGTCCAAGTATGTGCCAATCTCTGTCGAGATATCATTACCCGTACATAGCATGTTGTATTTGTGCTAGTCGAGTCTACCGGATATCAAGAACGGTTTGGCCTGATCCTTTATGCCGACGAATCCAACCAATCGTCTATTGGCACTCCCAAGAGTTACTCCGTCTTCCAACCAGAGAATTTCGAGCACGTTGCAGACATCTTTCTGACCCATCACCATCCCGTCCCTTGCAAGCCGCCAACCACTCTGGCAAGGATATCGAAGACTTGCAACATGCTCAACAGCCTCGAAGGTTCCCTCCACCGTGAGAAGGCAATGCGTATGGACTGTAAGCGCAAACCTGAGGCTTAGATTATGTGCACGGACGAGAATGAGCCACCGGAAGATACGTTCCCGATGACGACAGTGACGTTGCCCTGACGAGGGGAATGCTGATGTGCAGGTCATTCACCTTTCTGTGGTGGCCGCCTGTGAGGTTGCTGAGGTGGGGAAGGCGGGTTAGTACTCCGATTCAGGATGGCAGCCAGTACCCCCTTACACTTGCCAAGTCGCGCTGACTTCTGTATTCGCTCCCTACCAAAGGTATACAACGCGACGAATCAGAACGCTCGAAAATTCCGGCTTCATCAGCAGCCCATTCTCGACGTACCCAGAATGCTGCGCATCGAGCAGACGATGTCGGTGAGTCTGGCTCCCTTTCACACCTCATGTCACCTGTGACTGAGGTGGTCTTTACAAATTCGCTTTTTTGGTAGCGGCCTGCCTATTGAAGTCCGCAGACTGCACAGCCTCCTAGGCGAGAGGGGCAAGGCTATTGAGGACATGAAGGAGGAAATCGAGAAGACTGTTGAGTCTCTACGTACGGCACCCCGTGCACATGAACAGAGCTCATTGGGTGTGTTTTTCGTAACTCTGTATTCTAATTGCCTGACCTCGTGTCAGACAAGTTCAAAGAGGAAAATTAGAACCTAGAGGTCACTCTGCAGGAACTTCGGTCACAGCTCTCTGACTCCAAGAGCACGGTTCGACGTTTTGAATCCGACCATAAACGGCTCGCCCAACTACTTAATGCCACTCGGGAATCAGTGGACTAATACAAAAACGAAGATGAGCACATTGAGGCTGTCTTCGACGAATTCAAAGCCAAACACGAGACCGAATGCGCTCAAGCTCGCAGGTATGTTGCCGGTCTGCAGTGTGATAAATCTGATGTACAGTCATCTTCCTAGTGCAAGCGGCGTAAAACCCTTGGGAATGCAGGCATCATTAATCCTTACACGGATCTGAGGGAAAGGCGGTGCACATGGACAGATATAGTCTTTCCGCACCTTCTGCGGACACAACACTACTTGACATCTGGCGTAGCACCCAAGATAGCATCCTCGTAGAACAATCTGATCGCGAAAGAAGCGGACAGTGGAGCCGGAAACACTGGAAACATTTGGAGAAGTGTCTCGTTGCTGAACAACTAACGGCTGGCGCATCACTCCATCACCCGACGGAACTTCTGGAGCCATCCGATAAGATTTCCAAGGATTGAGTCTTGGATAGGTTTGCCGCGGAGGTCGGAGGGACCGAGGCGCTACACAGCTTTGGACCACAACGGTCTAGGTAAATGACCATGATATTTTTTGTTCCTACAATTGGTAACGTCACATCACAGACCAAACTTGATGTTGAGGTTGGAGATTCTCATCAGACGACAACAACGGTTGTCTGCTGCGGCTCGCGTGGCCTCGCGGCATGACAAAGCAGAATTCTGCAATTTTGATCGTTTACCGTGTTATGGATGCCTTCTTCAACAGGCCCTTGCCGTCACATCACCAACCTATGCAGATGCCGGAAGTAGCACGACTCGCCGCGATGTTTGAACCGCAAAGTCAAGTGAAAGGGGACCTGGGCCACTGCCTACATGCCTGAGACTCAGGGCAGACCCAAGAGCGCCAGTTATCACACTGCCCCGTCCAGCTGGACCAAAACCCCTGCTCCCAAAGAAGCAAATCCATCTGAGACTTGCTAGCCTTCCCAAGAAGTCGATGATACCTGTTCTCGTACGCCTACGGCGCCTCGCCGACTTGAGACACTGGTCACCAAGCAAGCACGCGCGTGAACAGGTGAGATCTGCGGTTCAACCACGGAGGAGTAGCGGATGTGGCGTGAAAGATCTTAATAAGTATTTTGAGGGGCTGGACCAACTTAATTCACCGCAAGGGAGCAAATGAATGATCGATTTTTTTTGTCCTAATACTTTGTTGAGAGCTTTGGTCTGTAACTGCAGGGCAGTGTGTTTGGTGTTATACTTCGTATGTACCTACCTAGGTTTCACGACTATCATAATTAACTGGAGTATTCGGGAGACGCGCCACAGACTGTATGCATGGTACAAATATTATTCCACGTGTTGTAAGTGTCGCTATACCGATGGCCGAGGTGTGCGTGTTTGTCTGGCAGCAGTTGGTAACAGCACATCCCATCAAGAATGCGATACACACCCAAGGACTCACGCGCACGTTGGGCCCGGTGAACGACAACTAAAAAGTTGCCTATTTTGACTAGTACTCATACCTTCTGAGCAGGAACGAGATTTGCAATGCGAACATGTGCTAAGCTGTAGGTATGCATAGCCACCGTTGCATGTTTTGACGTTTCATGAGAGTGACCGGCTGTTTTAACCTTAAAAAAGATAAGTGCTGCAAGTCTGCGCAGCCTTATGGGTCAAAGCGATGACTCGGTGAGGGAATATTCTTGGTTCCTGGATCCGATCGTTCTCATGCCAATCATTCAACGCGGGTCCTGTACAGTATGTAGGTAATCCAGGATTGACCGCTGGTCCGCAGGTAGTGGAAGCGCACCGACATGTGGCCATCATTCTGCCCATCATGAATTGGAATCTTTTATGAGTCGCTTGCATCTTGATTTTGGGTCGCGTCCCCTGAATTGGCGTCGTATCACGGGTGACGTGACCCCCGCTGTGTTTTTGCTGCGAAGTGTCTTTCTGGCCTATGGAGTTGAGAGAGGTCACGGGTGTCTCGGGCTCTGCAGACGTCACTGCGGAACATGTCGTGTACGCTAAAGGGCTCGATGCTAGCACCCCTACGGGCACAGACAGGTCAGTAAATAGCCACTGCTATGAACTAGTTTTTGACGAATATCAGTATATTGCAACGAGATAGAGTACGGTAACCAGCGTGACAACTACATAGACTCGCCAATCGCAGCCCACATGAGCACTGTCTTTTCTCCCCTCCAGTTCGCGCCAGAACTCCCAAGACGTATTCCAGGTTGTGGTCATGTGCCGACAGTCCCAGAATTCATCTAAGTCGAAGTTCGATCTGGGGACCAATCCCGCACCATGGGCAAGGTGCTGCCACAAAGGTGGGCACCCCTTTCTTGGTTTGAGTGAAATCGTGCATGCGGTACGATCGCTCAAGTTTCACTGCAAGGGGGAACGCTCTGATGATGAGCTGGAGATTTTAGAACATATGCATGTTAGTGGCGATAAGGAAGTTAGAAAGGAAGCTAAAAGAAGCAAGTGGGAGAGCGGGCCGACAGAGTTGAGAAGAGTACAAGTACATCAAGTCCCTATATACATCACGAGGGCAGTGAGCGGTGCTGCTGTGTTGTCACTTCACCTGTTCCACACAGCTTTCTTGCTACTGCGAGAATTGCCTAAAGACCTAAGGGTCCTAAAGATTTCCTTCATCTGCCGCAAGGGCTGAAAGAATCGAGAGTAGAATGGCCTTGTAGCATTAATCTCGTGCAATTGCCTCTCCGCCTCTAGCAATCTTTCTTCAGTCAAAACGGCATCTTCCCCGACCAAACCATTTACGATATCTAAAGCAGACCGCCGGGTATTGAAAAATCGTTCGTGATGCACATTTGCGGCAATGGGTAACCGTTCCCCCAGTTGCGGCACCCAAATTGGTAGTGTTTCATTATCCTCTTTTTCATCCCACCTAGTAGTCACCAACCGCACGTGTTGTGCAGCTTTGTCGCCGCATAGCCGACTGAATTGGTCGAGGTTCTCGCGAACTTTGTCAGACATGTGGTGATCGGTTATACTGTGTGTGTAAACAACCCCCGTAACCTTTACGTCTTGTGGGTACCTGTTGTATATCTACGTGAGCAAGAGGGCGTTTGTAGATACAATGCGTACTTCTTATGTAGCCAGTTAGCGACCTCGCGAAGGATATTTTGAGTTCGCCAGTAAGTGTTGGCAAATCCCGGTGTGTCAACAAGCACATAGCGTTTTCCGCGAGGGAAGTCAAATGTAAGTTCCCGAATGCCATGGGCATGAGGAACCAACTTGTCTGCCTCAGGCCCCCCCTCGCAGCCTGCGAGCTTATTGACGAACTATTATCAAGCAAATTAGCGAAGAATTAGGCTCGAGAATTTTGTAACCTACGTTACTTATGCCCGACCGCGCAGGACCCATCACTCTGAGCGGGTGCAAGAAGTTAATATCAAGAAACTTTCGAGTAAGTCATGTGTTGCGTACACAATAACAATGTCATTCCCTAATTCAGCAAGACCAGAGCTGCTGTTTTAGTTCCGACCTTATTAAGAAGTACCGTGCACGCACTTGGTGGAAGCTGGTGGGGTGATATCATCGGCTACAATTCTGCGCACTTTAAAGCACATGTACTGACCTTCCTAGTAGCTTTCACGACATCCTCCGCTCTGATGCGCGAAGACGGGTCCATCCTCAAGCAACGAGAGCATAGGTCCCACCACTCATCTGTCAAACGATAACAAGTATCCTCCCTGGATGGTCGTTCTGGTGGCCCTTTGAGTATCCGAAATTGAATGGAACTGAGATCGGTGAGGTTACAGTAGGGAAGTTTTCGGGTGAAGAGTTCCTGCAAAAATATGGCTTTGATCAAAAAGGGACAGGTACTAACGCACCAACGCCGTCATCCCAAAAGCCCAGATGTCACTTGCCAAGGTGAAGCTGGGGTCTTGGGAACTCAAGGTATTTACCATCTCCGGAGCCATCCAATGTAATGAACCCCCAAATTGACGGTTTACGGTCATGCTAAATGAGGAATTCTCCAGGACAGAAAGTCCGAAGTCTGTAAGAACAGCCCGCCCATCAGAGGCGATCAGTACATTTTGCTGTGTGACAAACATTACGCGACTTGACAAGTTTGCAAGCAACGAGACCTACCCCTCTCAAGTCACGATATATTATCGGACCGTTCGGATGACTATGTAGGTAGCGGAGTCCAAGAGCAATGTCTTTTATCTGAACCGCACCTAATCAGATATGTGGGGTATGTTGCACATTTCAACTTACAAGAGGACGAGGATCGATGTCTGGATCCTGTACATAAGTGTGGGCGTTGCCTCCTTCCATCCACGGAGTTACTGTTGATACTGTGAAGTCGAATCTGGTGGTTATTCCGAGGATGCTGAGGATGTTCGGGTGTTTCAGTTTCGACCCCATGTATGCTTCCTTCAGGATTCGCTGGGTGACAATCACTATGGGAGAAGTACATAGTAACTAGAACCCTTACCTTGATAATACCCTCATCGTCCATCCCGACGCCCTGGGGAGTTTTTATTGCCACAGTCCTTCCATCTGATAGCAATTTTCCACGGTATATCAGAGTTCTTGCTCCGCGATAGTATGGCGATGGTCCTCGTTCTATCTGATCGTCAAGGTTGGAGACATATCTGCTGGCCCGTTCAGCATGTTGGTGAGGCACGTCTAAGAATGTATTGTAGTTTGACCGGTTGGACTGGGTGACATCACGTTGGATTGGCCGGGTGAGCTTAGTTTCAGCTTCCATAGGAAAACCACGCGGACTAAGTGGAAATTTGAGCTAGAGAAGTCGGTCATTATTATATCTGTAGTTAAAAGCAAGGATGCATACCTGTTCGATCTGTTCAACAACACACTGCATCCTGGCACGCAAACAAGGATCCATCCTCAAGCAACGCGAGCATAGGTCCCACCATTCATCTGTCATACGAGAACAGGTATCCTCGTTAGATGGCCGTTCTGGCGGCCTCAAGAGAATTCGGGATTGAATGGAATTAAGATGGATCAGGTTAAAGTAGGGAAGTTTCCGGGTGAAGAGTTCCTGCAAAAATGGTTTGACGGGCTTGGACACAAATAGAAAACTTCCAGACGCACCAACATCGTCATTCCAAAAGCCCACATGTCGCCTTCTACGGTGGGCTTCGGGTCATCGAAAGTCAACATCCGTACCATCTCCGGAGCCATCCATCTCAGTGAACCCCCTCCGGGTCGTGTCACTGATATGCTGAACGAGAAGTCGGGAAGGACAGAAAATCTGAAGTCAGCAAGAACAGCGCGACCATCAGAGGTGATCAGCACATTTTCCTGCCTCACAAACATTATGCTAGTTGACAAGTTTGTGAGCAATGAGACCTACCCCGTTCAAGTCACCGTGAATTATTGGACCGTTCGGGTGACTATGTAGGTAGCGGAGTCCAAGAGCAATGTCTTTAATCTGAACCGCACCCAATCAAATATATGGAGAAGGTTACATATTTCAACCTACAAGAGGACGAGGATCGATGCCTGGATCTTGCACATAACGATTGGCGTTGCCTCCTTCCATCCACGGAGTTATTATTGATACTGTGAAGTCGAATCTGGTGGTTATTCCAAGGATGCTGAGGATATTCGGGTGCTTCAGTTTCGACCAGACGTATGCTTCCGTGAGAAGTTCCTGGGTGACAATCACCATGGGAGAAGCACATACTAATCAGAACCATTACCTTGATAATACTCTCATCTTCCATCCCGGCGCCCTGGGGAGTTTTTATTGCCACGGTCCTTCCATCTGATAGCAATTTTCCACGGTATATCAGAGAATATCCTCCACGATAATACGGCAATGGTCCTCGTTCTATCTGATCGTCAAGGTTGGAGACATATCTACTGGCACGTTCAGCGTGTTGATGAGGCACGTCTAAGAATGCACTGCAGTTCAACTGGTTGAACTGGGTGACATCACATTGGATTGGCCAGGTGGCGTTGGTTTCAGCTTCCACAGGAACATCACACGGACGAAGCGGAAACTTGAGCTAGAGAAATCGATCATTATTATATCTGTAGTTAAAAGCAAGGATGCATACCTGTTCGATCTGTTCAACAACACACCACATCCTGGCACGCAAACACGGATCCATCCTCAAGCAACGCGAGCATAGGTCCCACCATTCATCTGTCATACGAGAACAGGTATCCTCGTTAGATGGCCGTCCTGGTGGCTCCCGGAGAATGCGAGCCGCAATAGCCAAGGGTCCGGTCAAATTAGGGTACGGCGTTTTTGCTGTGAAGAGCTCCTGCAAAAAAATAGGCAAGCTTGGTCACAATGAAAAGGCACCTTGACATACCAACACTGTCATCCCAAAAGCCCAAATGTCACTTTCCACCGTAATTTGCGCAGACACCGTATCTATCAACTCCGGAGCTTTCCACTTCAGCGTACCTCCATATGGAGGCTTTGGGATCATGGTAACCGACGAATTGGGAAGTTCAGAGTATCCAAAGTCCGTAAGAATAGCCTGGCCGTCGGCGGAAACCAGTACATTATACTATTGCACGGGAAATCAGTCGAACTTCCTACGTCCTCAACAACGGTGCATACCCCTTTCAAGTCACCGTGAATTATCGGGCCTGTTGGATGAGTATGTAGGTAATGAAGTCCTCGAGCAATGTCCCTGACCTGAATCGCACATCAAATACATATACGAAAAAAAGCGCCTGTCAACCTACAAGAGGACGAGGATCCCTGTCCCGTTGTCGTACGTAGCGATGAGCGTCGCCTCCTTCCATCAGAACAGTTACTAGGGATATCGTGAGATCGAAATCTGTCGTTATTCCAAGTAGCGGAAGGACATTTGGATGCTGCATCTCCGACGCTATAAGCGCCTCCCGAGCTACCTGCTGGATGACAATCAATGAAGGAAACAATGCTCATCCAAAGTCACTATGTACCTTAATGGCTTCCTCATCAGAATGGAGAGCAGTTTTTACCGCCACGATTCTTCCGTGTGGGTGCAAGGTCCCACGGTACACCAGGGCATGAGCCCCGCGGGCGAATGGTGTGGCGTCTCGTTCTATCTTTCCGCCAAGGTTGATAGCATAGCTGCTCGCCTTCGAAGCCAGTTCACGGAGAATTTCTTCCGAGCCCATGGCACAACAGCTGGTCGATGTCCAAGAAGTATACACCGGCCCTCCGGGCAAACCAGGACGCGGCACAGCATGTATTCTTTTGATTCCTTATCAATCAAGTGGGTTTGTTTGAAGTGTGCCTTGTACGGTATTCCTTAGTTCGAATGACAGTAAGTCTATCAAACGGAGAAAATTACCGATAAATGTACTCGAACACATAGTCGTAATGAAGAATGCATCAGTAAGGGATACTCTGAAGTAGGATTGGCTGTCCACGTGCTACTAGAGTTGAGTTAAAAGTCGCAGCTGTCGTCTGTTAAAAGTTTTTGAAGAGAGCTTCAAACAGCCGATGAGGTGGAAATACGTCGTTGCCCTCGACACCGTCATTTACTACTTCTCGCGTTCGACGCGCTCGACGATCTTCGCGAGTCTGCTGCATATGACGACGACCTGTCCGCCGAGCGTTCTCTTGGCTGTGGACGTTATCGGCAAGCCCGGCATTCGGTCCGGTACGACCTTGCAGAACCAAGGATGAAAACAGACCAGGACTGTTCCGCGTCCTGGAATATTGGAAAGCCGGAGGCAGTGCCATCAATCAAATATTGAACTTCGCACTTGGGCATGTTCTATACTCTCAGCGTCTAGACTATAGAACTCCTCGCAGAAAACCACGAGCTAAACCACTGAGGAATTGACGATATCCTTGTACCCGTAACACTAATTTCTTTCATCTGCATGTCTGCGCCTCTCACCTCTTCAGGGCTCAGTTGAGCGTCTTGCCCCACCAATCCATTTACGATAGTCAATGCTGAGTTCTGGGTATTAAGGAATTGTTCATGTCGGGCACCTGCTGCGGTAGGAGGTTTCCACCAGTCCCCCTCGAACAGCGAGACCCAGCTCGGTACTTTTCCTGCATCACTTGCTTTATCCCACCTTGTAGTCACCAATCGCACATACTGTACAGCGTTTTCCCCGCACAACTCACAGAACTTTGCGAGGTTTTCACGCACTGAGGTAGGCATGCGATTGTCGGTTGTGCGATGTGTGTAGATAACCCCTGTAATCTTCACGTGTTGCAAATACCTGTTATGTATGTGTACAAGTGGGGTAGGGTGGAGGGACGAAGACTTACTTGTTTCGTAACCATTCAGCGACCCTTCCAAGAATATCTTGGTCCGATTTGAAAGCATTGTTGAACCCCGGCATGTCCACAAATACATAGCGTTTGTTACGAGAGACGTCCAATACAAACTCCCGAATGCCTCGCGTTAGAGAAATGGGTTCATCTGCGCCATGCTCCCCTTCACAACCCGTGAGTTTGTTGACGAACTACAAAGAACGTTGTCAAGGAATCTGGTACATGGTACGAAATTTCGTTGGCTTACGTTGCTTTTTCCTGATCCCGTAGGTCCCATTACTCTGAGAACGAATGGAGTCAGGATTCCAAAACTTGCACACATGACACGTACACGATAACAATGTCGTATCCTGGTTGAACCAAGCCATGGTTTCTGTTCAGTTTCGATCTCATTATAAGTACTACACACGCACTAGGTGGAAGCTGGCAAGATGATATCATTGACCTCCATTCTGTGCAATTTAAAGGACATGTACTGACCTCCCTAGTTGCTTCTACGACGTTCTCTATACTGATGCGTGAAGACGGGTCCACCCTGAAGCAGCGCAAACATAGGTTCCACCACTCATCTGTCATACGATAACAAGTATCCTCCCTGGATGGTCGTTCTGGTGGCCCTTTGAGTATCCGAAATTGAATGGAACTGAGATTGGTGAGGCTACAGTAGGGAAATTTCCGGGTGAAGAGTTCCTGCAAAAACGGTCTGACGAGCTTGAACACAAAGAGAAAGGTCCTGCCGCACCAACGCCGTCATGCCAAAAGCCCAGATGTCACCTTCCAGGGTGAATCCGGGGTCTTGGGAACCCAAGGTATTTACCATCTCTGGAGCCATCCAACGTAATGAACCCCCAAATTGACGGTTTACGGTCATGCTAAATGAGGAATTCTCCAGGACAGAAAGTCCGAAGTCTGTAAGAACAGCCCGCCCATCAGAGGCGATCAGTACATTTTGCTGTGTGACAAACATTACGCGACTTGACAAGTTTGTGAACAACGAGACCCACCCCTCTCAAGTCACGATGTATTATCGGGCCTTTCGGATGAGTATGTAGGTAGCGGAGTCCAAGAGCAATGTCTTTTATCTGAACCGCACCAAATCAGATATGTGGGGTATGTTGCACATTTCAACTTACAAGAGGACGAGGATCGATGTCTGGATCCTGTACATAAGTGTGGGCGTTGCCTCCTTCCATCCACGGAGTTATTATTGATACTGTGAAGTCGAATCTGGTGGTTATTCCGAGGATGCTGAGGATGTTTGGGTGCTTCAGTTTCGACCCGATGTATGCTTCCTTGAGGATTTGCTGGGTGACAATCACTATGAGAGAAGTACATACTAACTAAAACCATTACCTTGATAATACCCTCATCGTCCATCCCAACTCCCTGGGGAGTTTTTATTGCCACAGTCCTTCCATCTGATAGCAATTTTCCACGGTATATCAGAGTTCTTGCTCCACGATAGTACGGTGATGGTCCTCGTTCTATCTGGTCGTCAAGGTTGGAGACATATTTGTAGGCCCGCTCAACAAGTTGGCGAGGCACGTCTGAGGGTGCACTGTAGTTTGACTGGTTGAACTGGGTAACATCATGTTGGGTTGGCCAGGTGGCGTCGGATTCGGCTTCAATAGGAACATCACACGGACGAAGTGGAAACTTGAGCTAGAAAAGTCGATCATTGTTATATCTGTGGTTAAAAGCATGCATCCTACCTGCTTGATCCATTCGACAACGTACGGCACCCTGGCTCGCAGAGACGGCTCCATCCTCAAGCAATGCGAGCATAGGTCCCACCAGTTATCTGTCATGCGATGACAAGTATCCTCGCTGGATGGTCGTTCCGGGGAACCCATCGTTATCCGGTATATAACGGAACTGGGATAGTTGAGGTTACAGTAGGGAAATTTCCGGGTGAAGAGTTCCTGCAAAAACAGTTTGACGAGCTTGAACACAAAGAGAAAGGTCCCGGCGCACCAACATCGTCATGCCAAAAGCCCAGATGTCACCTTCCAGGGTGAATTGGGGGTCTCCGGAACTCAAGGCATTTACCATCTCCGGAGCCATCCAACGTAATGAGCCCCCAAATTGACAGTTCAAGGTCATGCTGAATGTGGAATTCTCCAGGACAGAAAGTCCGAAGCCTGTAAGAACAGCGTGACCATCAGAGGCGATCAGCACATTGTCCTGTTTCACAACCATTACGCGAGTTAACATCTTTGTGAGCAATGAAACCTACCCCTTTCAAGTCACCATGTATTATCGGACCTTCTGGATGACTATGCAGGTAGCGAATCCCGAGAGCAACGTCTTTAATCTGAACCGCACCAAATCAGATATGTGGGGTAAGTCGCACATTTCAACTTACAAGAGGACGAGGATCGATGTCTGGATCCTGTACATAAGTGTGGGCGTTGCCTCCTTCCATCCATGGAGTTATTATTGATACTGTGAAGTCGAAATCGGTGGTTATTCCAAGGATCCTGAGGACATTCGGGTGCTTCAGTTTCGACCGGGTGTGTGCTTCGTTGAGGATACGCTGGGTAGCGATTACTATGGAACAAGCACACAATAACTAGAGCCACTACCTTGATAGTACTCTTATCGCCCATCCCAACGCCGCACAAGGGCATTTTTATTGCCACAGAACTTCCATCTGACCGCAAAGCTCCACGGAATACCTGAGAATATCCTCCAAGATAGCACGGCCACGGTCCTCGTTCTATCTGATCGTCAAGGTTGATGGCATAGCGGCTGGCCCTTGAAGCCAGTTCACGGAGAACATCACGAGATTCCATGGCGTGACAGCCGGTCGGTGTCCAAGAAGTACAGTACTTGACTAATAGTGTTGTGTTGCTAGTTCAAATCGAGAAGTGTTTGGGCCGACGTCGCATCACGTGACGCGACCTGGTATGTTTTTGCTGCAGGTGCTCTTTCTGGTCTGGCAGTTGAGAGATGTCGCGGCTGTCTCGAACTCTGCAGACGTCGCTGCGGAACACGTCGTGTACGCTGAAGGGTTCGGTGCTAGCACCACCACGGACACGGATAGGTCAGTAAAACAACAACCATGGCGTTGAACTGGCTTTTGATGACAATATATATCCATGCAGCGAGATCAAGTACGGCGGCCAGCAGCGCGACAACTACAGCCGACTCGCCACTCGCAGCTCACTTAAACACTGTCTTTTCACCGCTCCAGTTCCGCCCTGAACTCGCAAGACGTATTCTCACTCATGGAAGTCATCCAGAAGCTGTTCACGGCCACAATGGCCGTCTCGCATTTATCGGTACGCGCATTTTATTTTATTTCATTTCGATACTCTCGTCCCTAACTCGTCGTGCATTAGGTCGTCGGGTATTGGAATCCTACTACCTCCTCTTCGTCCACGACTCCGCAAAAGCAAGTGCCGACTACAACTATGACGCATTGGCAGAACGTGCACTAAACTCATACGTGCTCGGAGAGCACGTCGCACCCCAATGGTCATTGGGAAAAGTCCTCCGCTGGGTCCCTACTATCCCTCGCAACGCAATCGAGGCTGCACAAGAACACCTACCCGATGCTGAATTGACACGTGCCTTGTCTGCGAATCCTGGGATCGTCAGGAGCGTGGGGCTTTATAAAGTCATGGGTGAGGCTGTTCAAGCTGTGGTTGGAGGTGTATATCATCAATTTGTATGTTCCTTCTCCCCATACCGGCGAGCTGCAACACCTAAGATATACGTAGGGTGGTTCCGTTGCTCACCGGCTATTTCACACTCGGATTTTACCCCATATACTTTTACCCAACCAACACGGCGGTGTTCCAATGGAGTTCCATGCAAAAGCCCTGAGCATCAGCGAACGAATGGGCGGCGGATTGGAGGCCAAGGAACTGAAGCAGTGACTTTGTGTGGATTATACTTGCCTAATCTAATATTTACATGCTAGACTCACTCAGACTTCATGCGGTCACAACAGATAAGGCGGTTACACGCACAAAATCCAGGTAAGAGAAAGTATAAAGGTATATGGGTTAGTTATAGTTAGCAGGTGGGCTACCACAGACCAAACGACTATGGTGTCAGCGAAGCTAGTATAGTCCGTGGACGTAAGAATCAATAACCAAGCAGTCCGTATGCAACGGAAACAGAATCTCAAATTGTCACTATCGATCAGAAGAGGAAAGCCACTGCGCCCAGGGCAGCACCGAGCATCAAGCCCGAGTGGATGTTGGTGATTGACAAGGCACCGTTGGAGCCAGAGGATGAAGAACCTGTGGCACTCGCGCCGCCCTTCGTTCCGGTAGCGGTAGACGAGGTAGTAGTGGTCGAGGGAGGAGCAACAGACGAAAGGACGCTAACCTGAGACCAGGTGGCCGCAGCGTTGACGCTAGTGTTACCTTCTTGGTAAGGAAGGAAAGAGACAGTGCCATTACTGGTCAACTGCACCAAGGCAGTCACACTGGCAAAGTAAGTGGCATCAGGGTCCTGGTAGGTGGGGCCAGCCAGAGCTTGTGTAGTGTTGGTCTGGGTGCCAGCACGTCAGATGTCTGATTAACACCGTGTAACACGAGCCTACCTCCACGTTGATGACGTAAACAGCCGACGAATCCTGGGGAATGAAGGCAAACTCCTGCTGGACCTATACAAGACTAGTCAAGGAAGATGTGAAGAAAAAGAGGACCGCACACATACATCACTGGGTTGGAAGAACGATGTGGCCTGACCGAAAGTGGCAGGGAAGGCACTGCCGTTCGGAAGAGGGTACGCCTGGGATTCGGGCTGGAAGTACGAGTCTGTCGGGGGACATCACCTTCAGAACAGCCAGGTAATTAAATCGGGGGGACTTCATACAGTGAATCACGAAAATGTCCGCCGAACCAGCAGGAACTCCGGGAACGTCCAAGAAGTGGATGTGGTTTTGAGCAAGGGCCATCACGGGCTGGTAGTCGGACGGGTATGGAGCAGTTTCGGTGTCGGTCCAGCTCAGTGGAGTACTGTTAGCAGCCTTGAGGAGACCCATGTCCAAGGAGAACAGGCTGTCGTGCGAGAGCGCATCTGGGTGGAACGGTGAAACCAAGTCACGCACACGTGCGGGTAGAAGACATACAGAAGACGTTAGTATCGTGGTCCAGGATAGCGTCAAACGAAGAGGGGTCGAAGGATCCAGCAGTAACGGCTTGTGTTGTCCAAGATTTTGCAGTAGCATCGTAGATGTATACAGATGAAGGGCTAGAAGTGTCTCCGTTCAACACGTAGATAGCATTGGTGTACTGGGAGAACTTTTAACGCCTTTCAAGCCATCCCAGGGCAGACTACATACCTGGGAGAGATAGCAAGTCGTGTTGGCGTCATTGAATGGCCTACAAAAGCTGTCAGGTACAACCAAGCGGAGAACACGCCGAATGCGTACGGTCGGCCGGTGGTAGTGATGTCAGTGGCTTTACCACCTGCATTACATGTCGGTCAACCTTCGAAAAGTGCCGGGGCAGGGGAAAAAGAAGAGCTTACTGCCGGTCCATGAGTCCTGGGTACCAGCATTCCAGTCCTTGCCATCAAGGTTGAACGCAAGCAAGTTCCAGTTGACATCAAAGGCGACACACGACCTCGCACTGACGGCGGTCGACGCAGAAAGTAATAAAAGAGAGACGAGGGTTGGTAAAAACATGACTATGTATGTGCTAAAGAGCCAGACAAGAGAGTAAAACGAGAGTTGGGAGACAGCAAGCGAAGAGTGAAAGGCACGGGGCCAATATAATCTTAGCAATCAAAAATAACCGCTACGGATAATTCTGTTCCACTTTCACACTCCTCTCTGAAACATTGTCTCACATGACACTATGTCAACTGAACAGATGTGGAATCCTGCATAACATTTGCATTGATGATCATGATGGCACTAGGATACATAGCAAAGGCATATGAAAGGCGAGACTCCAAACGCTCACTAAGAGATATACATAGGTGAGTCGAAAGAACGATACAAAAGGTAAAAACAGAACGCACGAAAGTGAGGGCAGCACCCTTGGTCTTCTTCTCACCACCAAGCTCGAAGCTGGACGAGTGTTAAGACGATGTACGAGTTAGCAAAGCAAGCAACACGAACTGTTTGCAACGCTTCAATGCTAGTTGCATCTTGTACTTGCAGACAGTACACTCTAATCTGAGGACAACCTTCTTGGTGGTCTTAGCCTACACGTCGAACACATACATCAGTCTCCGCATAATACATTCAACATCGCGCAGAAACTCGCCTTTTTGTGGAACACGGGCTTCGTCTGACCACCATAACCTGATTGCTTACGGTCGTAACGGCGCTTTCCCTGTGCAAAGAGCGAATCTTTGCCCTTTTTGTATTGGGTGACCTTGTGTGGGCTGCCAGGACCACGGGATTTAGGATCTCGTAGGATAAAACTTTAAGCACGAATGTATACGCACGTGTGTTTCTTGCACGTCTTGCCCTTGCAGTCTACGAGCAGGCTAGTCTGAGGACCATTCGCGATCACGTCTACACAAGGGTCATCACTCACACGTCCGTCGAGTCCTGCAATGTCAGCCGCTCATCAGCTACTTGGTTGAAATAGAAACGCTGCCGACACTCACTTGGGAATGTTCACCATCGCGTTGGGGTCGTCGGGGGATGGCTTGATATGCGGGTCGTCGATGTGTTTACCTAACCCGGTAATCCCGTTGATACTGTACAGATCATCAATTAAGGTTCAGACTCAGACGAATCTCCGCATCGGCATGTTGCGGCGTCACTTTACCCCTGTCTGTCTTCTCGCTTTTGCTAGAGGCTAATATTGGTCATGTTCACTAGTGTCGCCTCGCTCATTGCATTGCATGCCGCGTCCTGTCTTGCATGGTCGTGGTCGAATACACTACGAGACACTGAATCAGTCGATGGCTATGCGGACAGCACCGCACATGACTTGCAAGATAGTACGCCGTTTACAATCTCCCAGAGCTTATGCGGAATTCCAATAGGTGGTACAGCCTTCAAGGAGCTGTCAGATCCAGAACTGGCTACCCTCTTCAGTGGAAAAAGTAAAGTACTAATCGGTTGCTCGCTGCTGCGCACATAATCTTTGAGGCGCTCGCAGATGCTCTTGGCTCTTACCACCGGAAAGCAGATTGCTTCCAGGATGCCATGTCAAGGGTAAAAACGCGCTGTGAAGAGTCCCATATGGACGAACAAGAGCGCATACAAGGTACCGTATGCCCATTTTCTTGCACATGCTATGTTCAACGCCCCGCATACAAGCCGCTATTTCCATGACCCTGTGCGAATTGGCCACTGCTCGTCACTACGCGCCACCCATGGAATGTGCGGCATTTTCCAAGGGACAGCAGAGGCCGCCGGACAGTTTTGCTCAATCAGCATGTGTAGAGTACACATCGGTTTTTCATTCCATCATTTGCCACAGCGCCACTCACTGTCGTTATCGCATGACAGAGCATTGTCCAGGAGTGCTCAATTTTGGTCAAGTTACTCGGGATATCTCCGTGAACTTCGTAAGTTGGACAGTCGCGCGCGACAGATGACGTTTGCGTTCCAATGATGGTGGCCAATCAGCGCAGCTCTGTTTTGCATTGAGACGTTGGTTGGACATCGGTAAGTGGGGACTTAATCAGAAACCGCATCTATACGTAAACTGGTCGACACAATTGTCGAAAGACATAGCAAAGGACGTGTACAGGAATATCACTTCGGAAAAGCTAGCATTACTTAAATTTCTCAACGAAAGGGAGAAAAGCGCCATGACAGCACAGCAACTCTGGACGCAAACTAATCAGGTAGAGCCGCTAATATTTCTTGCAAGCTCTCGCCCTCCTATTTGAACAGGATTTGGAAATTATTTTGCAGGCGCTGAAGACGGCGTCGAGTAACTTGCGCGACAGATCAGATTCGATGACAACAGCAATTAACGGGAACGTGCAGTCGGTAGGTGCGTAGTCTGGACAAATGCGCTCTGGCTTACCCCGGTTAGTTTTTTGCAGAGATGCACAGTTTTCTTCAGGAGGTACAGGATCTCGGTCGCACAAACCACGCCGAAACCACAACAGAGGTACCTTTGATTGCGATACACCACTCTTTTTTTTCATGGCCATCAGTTACGTAGGATACTGGCTGACATCGGACGTGAGGTAGGCGCTACACTAACCCTTCCTGTGAAGCGATGTGATGTTTTAATCCCGCCAGCATTCGGAAGCGTTTGTTGCTCTCGTGCCATCGGTGCGATCATCCATCATCTCGGAGCTGAACACAGCTCTTGGTATCATCAAACATGAGAGCCTCAGGAACTTGGACGTGGCGGTGCGTTAATTATGGACGGTGATGGACGGTTTCAACAACTGCCGTGGTTCCCGCTTTCCAGGATCATGTTCATTTCCAACTAGACATTCTCGCTGATGGCATTGGTGTGTTGCAGAACGTATGATACGATCGTTCTGTCTAAATTGAGCACTACGATTGATTTCTCGTTGCCTTCATCATAATGGCGCTCCTCCGCAGTCGGCCCAGGAGCTGATTGGCTTAGTATCAGACGCCTCCGGATCAATGGAGTTGTTCGTCTCGCAAGCCCGAGATACTCGCGTACTCCAGGAGGATATTCATTCGTCCACGCTCCGTTTGATGGATGCTGTGCACCAACTTACCCAAACGACGCACGATGAACTGGAATCGATCAACCAGACTACGACGGTACTAATGCAAAATCTGCAAAGAGGACATGACACTGCAGATTGGTGGAGGTCCGTACTTGTCTCTGCTGTCCAGCTTTTTCTCCCTGGTTCGTCGTTGTCGCCCTCCATTCTGCCCCTTCTAAGAAGCTCGCCTTCTTAGGAGTATTGCCGATTGGTTCGACAACCACGTGGCCACTGGATCTTCTCTTCAATGTTATCGACGGCGTGTGGCGAGTTCTCTGCTTCTCTGTTTCCATGTTTACGGTAAACACACCCTACCCTAAGCCCGCGAAAGCGCCAACCTGAGCAATGACCCTCTGCCCAGAGCGCTTTACTCCTGACCAACGCTAGACGCTGGTTTACCTACCACCGCAAGTTCACGGACGTGACGTGCGGGTCTCCAAGGGACGCATACATTACTATGGACGACGTCAAAGCGAACACGGACGCGGTAAAGTTGACACCCGACCCGCGCATCTCAAGACGTTCGTTTCGACCTCGATATTCACGCATACCTGATCGACTTTGTAGAACAATTGACCATGCAACATGGTGATGCGGCGGCGGGTAATTAGATTTGCCCACTGCCCAGGTTTTGCCAGCCAATGGTGGCGTCGCGAAAATCCCTGTTTGTTACGCATGTTTTTACCTTAGACCGCAATCGGATTGCGCTCGGTCAGTGTTCCATGGGTAGATAGCTCTTATTTCAAAAAGTGTATAGGCGGATGATCTTCCCCGTTGCGAATTGGGTGACAGGTCCGTGCGAGGACCCTTAAGCTGGCATTAGGGGGTGTTTATATCCGGAACAAATCTGTCACGCTGGCTGGTGCCACCTCCTGCCCTGCATAACTCATCGATGAGTTATGCCAGCGCAATTCTCCCACCCCCAAAATAAGTTCCCGGTTCAGCTGGGGCCTCAAGGAGGCAGCAACGACATCACTATCCTCAACCAGCCATCGTCTACCGCGAAGATGATGACAGTTCTTCCAAACGTCCCGTTAACACCACCTGGCCTTCCCCCAAAACCAGCACGTAAACCAGCAGTAGCATCCACCATCAGTACCACAGCACATCAGACGGTGTCGCCACCACCCATCCAGCAGTCGCAGTCGTCGTCTTCTTCGTCGTCTGCAGTGTCTTTCCCAAGTGAGGACGTCGCCATTAAACTTCCTGTGGCTCCTCGTGTGACGCCACCATCGCTTGCTCGAGCGAAGGGTAGACCAAGAGGGAGATATACACATACGAGAGGTGTTAGGGTATGTACATACTACGACACGCACCCATCGCTATCTGTTAATTGACTATTCTGTTGGTCTTGTATGCACAGAAGATCCAGAGCGTGCCACATGTACAGCCGCAAGATAGTATCCCGCTCGACTATTCGGCTTTCGAGCAACACAATTCGTCGTCGGTGCGCAGCTATATGGCTTCCCCGGAACCAACATCGATCTGCGTCAAAGTTCCTCCCTCTGCGCCGTGTCAGTCTCCTCGTGCCGAGCCCCCTCATTCGGCGCACCTTCCTCCCAAACCGGAACAACAGTTACCACCTCGCGGTCGGCGTGCCGAGACTTGTGAGCATTGGCTAATGGGCAGGTGTACCAAGTCTCCTTGTCGATACTTGCACGAACTCCAACCCGGGGCGTGTTTGGTTTGGTTGACGATGGGTAGATGCAATAAATATATCTGCCCATTCCAACACGCGCAACCGACCTTCCCCTGTGGGGCTTGGTTGAAAGGTTCCTGCAATAACTCCCCCTGCCCGTTTTTACATGAGCAGAAGCCTGAGACTTCCGTGGACGTTTCGGAGGATGCGTGCAAGGTGCCTTCTTCGTGTTCGTCCGAGAAGAAAACTTCACTTTCCATCGATTGGTTGATGAATCACTGCACCATATCCAACGCTCCTTCCAAGCCAACCGAGGTTGCTCGGGAATCCTTCACAACTTCTGCCGAACCAAGAGAAAGTAGCGTTATACCCAGACCGAGCCCTCAGCAGGCCAAAGGTACGCTGGATGGCCGCCGCGAGTCGCCAGCCAACAGCAACTCACGTCCGAACGGCGCGTCATTTCATGTTTCCCGAGATTGTCGCATAACACCTGTTGAACCAGTAAAAAGTGGTAGTGCTTTACCCAGACCGAGCCTTCAGCAGGCCAAAGGCACGCCGGATGGCTCCCGCGAGTTGCTGGCCAACGGCCACTCACGCCCGAACGGCGTGTCGTCCTCTGTTGTTCAAGAATGCCAGACAACTCCTGCTGAACCAAGCAAAAGTAGCGCCACATCTAGACCGAGCCCTCAGCAGGCCAAAAGTACCTCGGATCGCCACGGCGAGTCGCCGGCCAATGGCCACTCACGCCCAAATGGCGCGTCATCTCATGTTGCTGAAGAATGCCGCACAAATCCTGCTGAACCAAGAAACCGCCACTCATGCGCGGACGGCGCGGCATCTCATGTTACTCAAGGATGTCGCATACCACCTGTTGAACCAGTAAATAGTGGTGCTTTACCCAGATCGAGCCTCCAGCAGGCCAAAGGTGCGCTGGATGGCCACGACGGGTCGCCGGCCAACGGTCACTCACGCCCGAACGGCGTGTTATCTCATGTTACTCAAGAATACCGCACAACTCCTGCTGAACCGAGAAAAAGTAGTGCTACATCTAGACCGAGCCCTCAGCACGCCAAAGGTACGCTGGATGGCCACGGTGAGTCACCGGCTAACGGCCACTCACGCCCCAACGGCGTGTCATCCCATGTTGGTCAAGAGTGCCGTGCACCTGCTGAGCCGAGAAAAAGTAGTGTTATACCTAGACAGAGCCTTCAGCAGGCCAAGGGTACGCCGGATGGCCACGGCGAGTCGCCGGCCAACGGCTATTCGCGCCCAAACGGCGCGCCCTCTTCTCATCCCCCTCCCATGCGTGCGCGCATTTCCGCCCAGCCCTCCACATTCGACAACCCCAAGCTAAACGGATGCTCCAACGACACCGTTCCACCAACACTTGACTCCCGTTCGGTCCCGCCGCGCACTTCCGACGTTAACATTAGACCCCCACGGATACCTGTCCAGGAGAGGCTTCCAGAAACGTGCCTGGATTGGCTACAAGGTACTTGCAGAAGATCTCCTTGTCCATATCTGCATCGCAGGCAGCCAGAGACCTGTGCCAAATGGCGGCAGGATATATGCCAGAGGTACTTTTGTCCCTTTGTACACGATTTGGATGTCACGTGCCAAGATTGGCTGAGGGGACAGTGTAAATGGCGCGTCTGTCGTCATGCACACGCAGTAGGTTTCGTTGAGAATCGTGCACATACGAGTGTTGATTCCCTTGTTTACAGAAAGCACTTGACAAGCCAGCCCCATCTCTGGAGCCACTCTTTGGTACGGTGATTGCTGACCACATCAAAGTCAGATTGGACAGAGGCTTTGAGGTTCAAGAGGTAATCACAGGCTTCGAGAGCCGATGGGTTCATCTAGGAAATGTTGCGCCTGGAATATCGTCAAACGTCATCAGGGGATTGCTATCGCAGTATGGTCATGTGGATTCGCTCATCGTCCCGGAAAGTACTACGAAAAAATCGTTGGTCATCAAAGCGCAGTTTTCGTCCCCTGCTGAGGCCATGAAGGCTGCTACAGCCCTGCACGGACAAGAGTTTCACGATCAGCACTTGATGGCTAGGTTGTCCATTAACAACTTCAAGAAGGGAAACATGGTCGTCACTGACACCGATGTCTGTGTGGCGTGGCAGTCACCTCACCGTATGGGCTATGGTGGTTACGCCACCCTCAAAGGCGCGCGGGCTGTCATGGACTCCGTTTCCAATACCCGAATGGGGGATAGCCTCGTAACTGCCGATTTGTACGACGGGCTTCCTGCTGTTGGCGCATACAACGTCGTATTCAGACACCTACCATCCGAAACAACAGAACAAGATATTCGAAATTTGGGAGGGGATATAGAATCGATCATGTTGGAGCGTCCCAACTATACGTCTATCGAACGCGCGATGCAGACTCTGCGTTCGATACTAGAAAACTATGGGACAGTTATCAGTTTCGATGATCTCCCTCCTCCGTACAGGGATGGAGCGGTCAAGGCCTGGGTTAGGTTCTCGAGTCATGCGGAGGCCCGCCATGCCCAAGACTCTCTCGACGGCCAAAATTTCGCGTTCTTGGGTCGCACACCGATTTCTGTGCGACATGTTCTCAGCATGTCTTACACCCTCCCGTGCACCGTATACCGCAAATTACAAGATGACCTGACGTGGTTGCGTCGGTCGTGGTCGCAACGATACGGTCCCGGAATTACATTGAGCGAGAAGGGGGATATCAACGGCATGGCGGATGGCCCGGTGTTCATTAGAGTGTCATGCGAAGACTCCCTTCTTCTTAGTCATCTAAAGTACGAGTTCGAACAGCTTCTTCGTGGGGACACTGTCATGTTCAACAAGAAGCCCGTTTGGGACGACTTCCTGACCGGCCCTACCGGTTTGTCGTTCATCCATCAGCTACAAAGGGAATACCCTGGTGTCGATGTTCAAGTTCGCGGATCTAGTCGCATCGTGACTGTCATGGGCACGATCACACGCCGTCACCTTGTAAAGCAGGAGATCGTCCGCAAGATCGTGGAGGTCCAATCGCAACTGTTGTGGGATATACCTCTTCCGGGCCGAACGCTTGGTTTGTTCCTCAGCGAAGACCTGACCAGGCTTCAAGAAACCTTTGGCGCAGAGAATTGCTACCTCCATTACGGCAAACGCGCTCTTATCGTCCGTGGAAACGAGCAAACCTTCCGTATTGCGTGCAAGGCGGTACAGGACGCCCAAAGCCGACAAGGAGTGGAACCCTCTCAATCGGGTGCCATATGTCCCGTCTGCTTCAACGACCCGGTCCTACCCACCTTCCTCCCGTGCGGTCACCAGTGGTGCCGAGGTTGTCTCGTCGGATATCTGTCATCAGCCGTCGACAACAAAACGTTCCCACTTACCTGCCTCGGTAACGACGCGTGCTGTTCGGAACGCATCCCGCTCAGCCTCGCACGAGAGCTTCTTACTGCAGCCGAGTTCAATGCCGTCATTGATGCAGCATTCTGGACACATGTGCACAGCCGACCCGACGAATTCCATCACTGCCCGGTCCCCGACTGCATCCAGATCTACCGTTCTGCGCCACGCAACACTGTCCTCCAATGCCCATCGTGCCTCACGCACATATGCCCTGCGTGTCACATAGAGTACCACGACGGCATGACATGTGAGGAGCGTGATGCAGCGGATGATAAATTGTTCTGGCAATGGCGGTCGGATAATGACGTCAAGGACTGTCCTGTGTGTAGGGTTCCGATCGAGCGCAGTGAGGGATGCAACCATATGACCTGCATCCGGTGTCAGTCGCACATATGTTGGGAGTGCCTTGCAGTGTTCCCCAGAGGCGAAGGTATATACGACCACATGCGTAACAAACATGGTGGTATCGGCCTATAATGCCAGGTTTCTCGCTACTTTCATGTACTTCTCTTTCTTTCTTTCTGCTTCTTTCACTGTCTCATATTGCCCTCTCGGTGTTTCACTCGCGATCCTTTCTTTGTGCACTATCACATTGTCTGGATAAGTGTTCATGCCTCATGCGTATTTATGCACTACTTATACAGAATCACAATCTGGAATCAATATCTCTCCCTACTTCTCCCTACATGATCTGCTCGACAAGTTGGTCGTTCTTTCGGCCCGTGTATTGTCGTTAAATAAAGCATATAAATGGTCAACTTCTTCATTTACTCCCATGGGAAGCGCCCATACTCATGTGAGCGATATCATGGGAAATATTTGTACACCACAAACTAGACGAGCAACAGGCCAAAAAAAGGAAGTTAGTGGCGTGCAACGCCAGAACACATCCAAGTATGGTGGGACTCACACTATCGTAAGGCTGCGCTGGCGGTCGTCCGCGCTGGGGCAGAGAAGCAGGCAGCTCCGGGCGGTCCGCCGCGGGAATGAACGTCCCATGATGATCCTGGAACCCTCCCCTCTCATCTGGATAGTTCCGGAGCTCGGAAGGATACGCACGATCTTCCGGCGCGTAAACGACGTACAAGTTCGGCGTGAGGTGGTCGCCGCGCCTGTTCCAAAACCCGTAGCGCACCCTGCGGGACCAGTTTGCCGGTGGGGATTCTTGCACCGGAGGCTGTGACCCTGAGAGGGTGGGGCGCTCCATTGGCGGAGCTGGGAGTGGATTCTCACGTCTGCTGTTGGAGTAAGGCGATGGGCGGTGCTGCGGGGACGGATTATTTGGTGTGCGTGGCGAAGGTCCGTTGGAGTGGGATGATGATCGACGGGAGTCATGATGCCGCGGGGAGGGATCTGGTGAGGGTCTACTGGAGTACGGAGAAGGGCGGTGCTCATCTTGCCGTGGTTCTCCCGGAGAACGTCCGGTACCGTAAGGTGACCGGTTGTGCCGAGCACGTGGAGAACGGTTGGGAGACGGATCGTTCGAGTACGGTGACCGCCTGTTTCCCAAGCGAGGCGACGGATCGGGCGATGATTCGTCAGATGACGAGAACGGTTCAGCGAGAGGCGCAAAAAATTGGTCTCCACTGGAAGTTGAAGAGACGGTCTCGGGTATCGTGGTCAAGTTCAGCCCGACAGATGGTTCGGTGCGACTGCGCGTTAAGGGACCTGTGCTTCTAGACGAGCGAGGGGCTGAAGAGACGGGGGGCAATCCACTGGACATGTCTTCTGCAAAGTTCGAGTAAGGGTCGCGAGACGAAGTCGCCGTTGGCATGGATGAGTGCCTCATCAGAGGTTGTGCAGAGGGGACTCCTCGGCCTTGGTTTGAGCTAGGCGGAGGGCCGTGTCTGGAAGGTGAACGAGATGCATGTCTTCCTTCGTCCGTGCTGCGACGGGGTGATTGGTAGTGGACTGGCGTTCGCACGATATTAGCTGAAAACGTAGGTTGGAGCTCCGCCCTGGAGGAATAGGAGTCTGGTTCTTGAGTGTACATTAGTGGTTGGGCAGCACGCCCGTTGGCCGTGCTTGACGCTGAAGTGGTTGCAGTTGTCGGAGCCGGGTATTGGTTTCCCGGGGGTGCATGTCCATTTGAGCGACCGGTGCTGAACGACTCCCCACGGGTCAACGTTGAGTGGTGGTGAGATGATGATGATGGCCCGGTTGATGAAGATCGCTGGTGGCTGGAGGACCTGCGCGCAGGTTCAGTTGATTGGCGTCCTGGAGCGGTCGTGTGATGAGTCTCGTGAGGGGTACTGTTAGAGCGATAAATATATTCTCCACGCGACGGAGTAACTCTGTCGGGGGTGTGATAGTACGGTTGAGAAGTAGTGGTAGGGCGCACGGGTGTGCTGTTGGCGGTCGTATTGTCAAACGACCGATTGATCGGTGTATCGTACGAAGCCGCCCTTCTGTCCGCATTGGTGGCAGGTTCTCGCACAGGCGTTGAGGCAGCGCGAGCATGATGAATACCTGATGATGAAGAGCCTTCACGACGAAGATCGAAGGTGCGTTCCGGCCGTGGACGATCCTCGCCATCTGCTAGCAGACTAGGTGGACTCCATATCCAGGGTGTGTGAGGTTCATCGCTATCTTGATCCTCCTTTCTCTCTCTGCAAGCGCCATAATATAATTTTCATTTCGTTAGCGTACCATCAAAAAAAATAAGCATGGAGTGATATAGTAAGAGGCGTCAATCACAACCCCAACGCACCTCTTTACCATACCTTCCAATCCCAAGCCATTATTGGTGAGTTCAGTTTTCCAATAACTCGGAGAGGCCGGGCGGGGAACACGTTTGTATGGGTTGTAATTGGGGGGCATGCCCCAGCCCATTCCGGGTGCCCATGGTTGTTGTCCGTTTTGCATGTGGGGGTTGTATTGCCAGGAGCCGGCATTCCAGCGCGAGGGGGCGCCGTGAGGCATCGGAGGCGGGCCTGGATATCCAGGAGGGAATCCGGCGGCGGGGGGCCAACTACCGGTCCAACCAGCGGGTGGCATGTGAAGTGGTTGGGCTTGCTGTTGCATCAGCTGTGGGTTCGGATGCCATCCTTGTGCGGGTTGTGAGGACATGGCGGGGGCGCTACTGCGCTGCGAGCGACGAAAAAGCGACACCATAAGAGAGACGATCGGGGATAGGAGGACTCTTATTATTACCTGGCAGGCGAGCTGGCCAACAGCGGTTTGTGTGTATGTAGCAACGGGCGAGGAGGGCTTGGATGTGTTCCAGTAGACAATGGTCGGAGGTTCTCAAAACGTATTAATACGCCCCCTCCAATTGTGAAGAAAAGGGACAATTGACCCGTTCTTCGCCGTTGCCGATGACCAGACAGGTACCCGAGCAGTGCTGGCTAGGATGTTCCAAGAAAATGGAACGGACACTAGTGCTCTCCTCCAGTACTCCACGGGAGTCCAACACAGCCAAGCTGACGACCGTCCTTATATTTACACCCAGCAATTGTGACTGGCAAGTTAACACGATGCAACTTATCATTCAGGAAATGTCAAAAGGAACGCCTCTGGACCCACAGCTCAGCGCGGAGTGATAGCGAAGATCACAATTAACCACGCTTTGGGCTTCTCTCACGCCCTCGCCCAGGAGAGCATTACAATACGGTGCTGCTCAGTTAAATTCGTCGCAGAAGGTACTTTGTCCCCGTGAATCGAGGCTGCAAGCCGACGCTATGTATTTGGTAGTGTGTGCCAGAGATGCTACGCCCAGCATGGCAGGAATACTTCTGGTAGGCGCCAGATCTCTTCTTCTGAGTCGACCGTACCTCGAATCATCCATCCGAGGAGCGGAGCGACGCCTGGCTCTCCGCGTCCCCGTCGCGAATCTCCCTGATGGCGACCTCGCCTAGGGCGGATATAAGATGGCTTCCTGCAGTGGAAATGTCTCACTACACCATGCACCTAAAGCATGTCAGCTGATTCGATACTAGCGAGCCAGAGAAATTCCAGTATCGGTTCAGCCTCCCATGAGGCAGCCTGGTAATCTGGGGCAAGCTGTTCATGGAGCTGCTGGAGGAGTCAAAAAGACAATCGACCAAGTGCTTGTGATGGGAACAAGCTTCCATAGATGACAACTTTGATGGTATGCTGAGCACGTTGTTTAGGGCAGGCCTATTCGTGGCAGAGGACAATTGCAGGTCCCTAAGTAATCGCCTAGTGTAGTAAACTCATCTTGCCGTAACGTTTCTTCGATATCTCAACGCAAGGCATCCTCGCAGACGATGGGCGCCGGCCATTACTCTGCTCTGTCCCAACCAACCCTCGGAATGAGTGAACTGGTCTGCAAGACTCTCGACCACGACGCTACTGACATCCTCATCGACAAGTGGCTGGAACACCGCAACGACGCGTACTGGGAATGGTTCCAAAACATAAGACAGCGCAAGCACGCTGCAAACACTCTAAAACGCCAGGTCATCGCTTGGAACAAGGGCGATTTCGTCCCCGAGAATATTTTCTGTCGCACCGTCGACACCAGCAGACTCATTCCCCTCGACCGCACCTGGACAACTCACGTTTACCACCACCGATCCATGCAAGACAGGAAACTCTCCATGATGCCCGTCGTGTTCACCATGGTAATTCAATATTCACTCTCCTTGCTCACCGTTAACTCGGCATCGCATTCGGCTCCTACAGTTACCCGAACTCATGATTCTCAGGGGGATGCATGATCATGGCTGTGACGACGTGTACATCATAGTCACAGATGTGAAGAAGCAGGAGATGGACGACATCACCGACTATTTCAAACTGGTCTGCCGTTATGCCTACGGAAAGAAATGTAAACCAAGCAGAGAAAGCCAAATCCAATACGAACGTATGTTTCTCCCCTTTCCATTTTCCTTTCTATCCCCTTGTCTCATCCCAGTGTCATAGACATGCGTCTCACCCACACACTGCTCAGACAGAGACGTACTCCGTGTTTCCCTCAGATCGACCTCGCCTTCCGTGCAATCCTGTACGAAAAACGCCCTCCCTTTATCATTTTATTCTCCCATCAAACTACTTCATATTCCCAAATCCTGTTCACACACTCGCTCTTCGTACCCGCAGAAGATATCTTTTACGATTTCCCCAGCGGATGTCCAAACCCCTGCTGCAACGACGATTGCGAAATGATCCGCTTCCCTCGACGCGGCCTCGAAGGAGCAGTCGTTTTATCCGTTAAACGTGGTGGAAAGTATGGAAAGAGAGTTAGGGCCAAGGAAATGTGCAATTGGGTCGACTGCACCGCTTCCTTCAGTGAGGATACACGGCAGGGCGACGGTGAAACGAGCAGCGAGGGTTCTCAGAGCAACAGCAATAGGGAATGCAATAGTGGCACCACTAAAAACGGCCTTGTATGCAGCAAGTGCAGACTCGTCAAATATTGTTCCCCAGAGCACCAGAAGAAGGATTGGGAAGAACACCGCAGGGTGTGCGCAAAGCCAGCCAGTGCGTAAACCCGAGCAGTGTCTTCACCCACGCCACGAGTGTCATGATGTATATGTCTTTTTTTAACGTCGTGTCTGTCTCCACGCTTTTATGTTTCTTCTCGATTATTTCCGCTTTTTTCCCGTCATGTTGTTCTGTACGAGTAATATCTACGGGTGTTGCCAGTCACGTAGCTACTACCGTACGCCTCATCTGTCTTTATTAATTTTCTTGTGAGCGAGGCACTCGCGATTCTTGTTGTATGGTATAGGGCCCAGTTGCCAGCCAACCATCTGTCATACCTTTCTTCCATTCATGTGTAAGTTATGGTTATGCAACTAGCAGCTCACGTTTACGACGACGCATCTCCCCCCGTGAACCGATTATACTCTTTGTTAGAACACCAAATCAATGAGCTCACTGGCAAGGTTACAAGCGTTCTCAGGCACGTAGCGAATTAACCCACCGCGCAGGTTGCTGGCCTGGTGTTTGTGTTTCTAGCGGCCCGGTTCCCGTGTTCTCGCAGCACACTCGGTCCGGACGTTTCCCTTCTCCCCCCAGCTCTTTGTAGTCGGCTTGTGGGGGATATGTTTCGATGGGGCACTGTTGACCGTAGCTCGTTGACGGATATGCACATCTTTCCATCTGCTGCTCCCCTGCTATTGGACGTTGTGTTTTGCCCTGCTAGGACGTTAACTTGGACGGTGGCTCTCAACAGTGGTGCTATGAAATTGAAGGATTGGATTTTTCGGTTTCACGGCACCACTGTTATGGACTTCGTCTGCGCCGACAGCCTTTTCAATGCTTACCCCGCGCTTGACGTTGTGTGACCAGTGGCTGATCGGTGGGAAGCTCTTTACAGTGACAGGTTCTGTGTGTGTGCACTGGAAAAGTACGTGACATGGGGAGGTGACGGTGGTTCGTGTACGTGCTTGTCATCGCTGATCAAGAACATCCAGGAGTGCCCGGAGGGCTTATGGTATACAACTCGTGTCACCATAATGCAGTCGCACTTACGGGGATGCATTCCCCCCGATGATGCAATCGTGATAAGATCGTTGGCCTGGCATGAAACTTCTGACTATTCAATATTTGGCAAACATCAAAGTTATCATGTGGTCCCTCGCCTTCACGTTCGCCCCACCTGACGGTAATTACAATTAATGACTCGGTATGCCAACTGACCTAAGGGTTTTTATCAGCAGAACCTTCGGGTCTTCCTGGTCATCAGTATCTGATTTTCTGTTGTTGTTGTTAGTTTGATGGCACTTTCCCTTGTGGTGTTCTTAACTTCTCACCAACCTAACAGTTCTGTCAGCAGACCTTCGGGTTTACACCTGGTCGTGGACCCCTTAGTACCAGTATCTGTATTTATTTCCTTTGGTTGAAAGCTCGACGCTAATTTTCTTCGTGAAGAACTGGTCACCCCACGACGAGGCAGCTGCACTGAGGTCGTGGCAAGCACGGCCTCTAGACTGGTGACCAGACGGTTCTAATGAGGCCACCGGTCACCAGAACACACGGCCCGAATCAGCGACGAAGGTATCTCGCAACACGCCCGGCCGAAATTACTGTTATGAGTTTTACTTAATTTGCGTTAATTCTGGAGAACGTTACGGCGCGCTGGTATGAGGTTTGACTGTCCTGCCAAAGTATCCTTCCGGAGGAGGGGGGTAATATTGGCCAATGTATCGGTATGTTCTTGTCACATAACACTGATGCTGAGCATGCTTGGTGCCAGTACGTGAGAAAGGGACACCGGCTGCGGTGACCGAGGAGTAGTACAAGTTATTTGCAGACGGTAAGTAAAATGGTAACCGGGAATCAGAAGTATCCTGGGGGGGAAGGTTTGATATATCCCCACTTCCTCCCTCAGGGTCTGATATATGTAGGTCCGAACAGGAAGGATAATCTGAAGATGGATATTCCATGCCCACCCTTTGGAAACGGATGATATAACCCCGATCCATGTGGCTTGCACAACACCACAGACCTTTGTGGATGTGAATCGACTTCTAATGTGGTACTCAACTTGAGATATGATGATCAAGCATGGTTCTAAGCAAAAATTTCAAAGTTTTGTTACATTTTATGGGTTAAACTTGAAGTTTAGTCGATTAAACCATACTTTGTACTTCGTTTCAAGTTCTATCCCACATACAAGCCCAGGTACTGAAACACGAATAAATCTCTGTTGTGCAAGGTATTCACAGAAGATAAAAATATCCGGTTGAGAACTTTGTGCTTCCATGACTTCTGATTCAGAGTTGGGTCGGCCGCATGACTAGTCCGGGGGCCCACCACGAATCCGACAAGTATGAGGCGTTTATTTCAGAGGTAGAGCCGTTCAGTCACCGTGCACAATGTACGTACGAAGTGTTTCAGAATGGTAGTGACTTCATAAGTCACAGTACTTACTACACAACAGTTAGTACAGTGCGCCTACCCGCAACTAGAACCATCACTCTCAGAATCCGGGATCCATACATATGTGACTACATTAGACAAGCAAGGGTATAATTAGAACTTCTTACAGGTCGTGGAACAGCTGACCAGATTAAGGAGGAGGGGGCGAGGGGATATAAAGGTCTCGTTTGGCTTGGAACACAGTCTGCAAGAAACCATGCGATTCCTCGTCGTTTCACTCTCACTTGTGGCTGCAGTTACCCTGTGTGCTGCTCAAGACTTCGATGCCAGTTGCTTCAGCTATTACCTGGAAAATACCGAATTCTTCGCAACCTGTCGGACCGACAGCGGCAGCGACCAGTCCACGAGCATCGACTTGAATAACTGCGTCGTGAATAGATCTGGGGCGTTGGAGTGCGTTTCCTCGAGGTAAGTTATCAGTGGAGTGCGGATGAATTATCCCCACTAACTTACGCACACAGCGGAGGCTACTCAGCTTCCTGTGAAGACTGCTCCCTCTCTGGAACTGATCTGGACTGCACATGCGGCAATGGCAGTGGCGGCACCGACTCGGCGTCGGTTAACTTGAGTATGTTGTTCAATATGGTCCAAGACAATACAGAGCTGAAAAACACCTCCATCATGAACAGATAACTGCCTAACCAATAGTAATGGAGTTCTGGTCTGTGCGTGAAGCATTTTATCAGTGTGAACACAAAGCCGTGGAAAGCGCGCGGCGCGGTGGTGTGCAGGACGAATTTCAATGTGTACCTATGTAAACTTGTTGAATACGATTTTGGAAATCTTGGCCTGTAAAATCTCGGGATGGGCGAACGTTTATGGCAGTTGAGTGGGGAGGACTTTCTAACAAATTCTTCATGGCACGCCTGATAGGCTTACTGCAAGGTGTAAATTTTCGTGAATCTTTGTTATTTTGATTGTGACCTCCGGTAACAGGGGCTATTCGTAGGTCCGCACTTCCGAGATCGCCATACTATATATGGTTGCAGTACAAACGAGGTAGGTAGAGGCAGGCTTTAGGGTGGATGAGCTTCGCAGCAAAGACCACTCAGACTAGCCCTCACAGTAAAAGTACATAGCTGTTGCTTACCCTGAGGGACGGGTATAGCACGTTTAGATTTGGTTCCTTCCGCCGTCCCAGAGAGGGTAGTTAGCTATGTCTGTCCGCGAAGTTGGCTTCGGATCCAAGCGCAAAATGCATCTCTGACAGTATTTTCAGAGAAGTGTATGGTCCTGGGATTAACGTATAAGTTTATCTTGGAAGGACACGGAACGTGATGGCGCGAATTCTCGGCAAAGCAAGTACTGACACGTCTGGGATGGACCGGCTGAGTTGCACTGCTACATGTTCGCAACTTGGCTTGTAGTCCAGCTAGCAATTCGTCGACCCGTTCAACTACAGGCCAGCTCGACAGCTTTCCTCGGCTACCATCTTCGATGAAAGTCCATCGATCAACCAATTTGGCCTCTCCCATGCGATTTCCAAAGGCGCTATGAACTGGACGAGGGGAGGGTTAGGATAAGCATCGCCTATAAGCCGAGGTGGTGCCGTGGTGGATCCACTGGTAGAGTCTGACAGGGCATCAAGAAATGCGTGCACGAAACAAGGAGGGAGATAGGGCAGTAAAATGGAACTATAGAAGAGAGTGGGCTACGGAATGTGGTCTTAATGAAGGGACTCTCGAATATCAAAAGAGCTACACATCGATGTGGGTGTTCCTTGAAGCTTTGTTCATGGAGTTGCACCTACACCGCTGTCAGATGTGCACGTGAACCAGGTTCGATAGGCGGTGAGGGGATGACGTAAAGCGCGGTGCAGGAGAGTGATCCTGTAGGAGCTGCTGAGATCGACGTTCGCAAGCATTGCCCTTGTGAACAGCAGACAGTCGAGAGAACGAACGATAAAATGAGCGCATCTGAATGGACACACTACAAGTGCGAAATCGTTGCCCAACTACGCAATGCTCTTGCCTAATACACAGTCAGGGGGTCGACAAACAGAGAGGGACATCGCTACCCGGAACTTCGCCCTTATCATATAGCAAAGATACTCAACGTTCTGGAAGCTTTCTCAGTGCCAGTACATGAGGAAGGGATACCGGGCGCGGTGCTCGAGGAATAGCACAAGTTATTTGCAGACGGGAAGTAAAATGGTGTCCGAGAATCGGAAGTTTCCCGGGGGGGAAGATTTGGTATATCCCCACTTCCTCCCCACGAGACCTGATATGTGAGGTCCTAAGTCTAAACAAGAAAGTTAACCCGAAAACGGGTGCTCCATACCCACCCTTCGGAAACGAACGATATCACCGCAACCCATGGTACTTGCACAAGGTATTCACAAGAAATAAAAATAGCCATCGAGAACTTTGTGCTTTCATGACCTGGTATCAGGCGCCCATTTTAAATGTAAGCCGTTCGATCACCGTGCAAAATGTACGTACGAGATGTTTCAAATTGGCGGTGACTCCGCACTTCCACCGAAGAGGCATACCACTCGTCAGTCACGATATTCACTACACAACAGCTAGTACGGAACGCCCAGCCGCAACTGGAAATCGTTACCCCCAGAATCTGAGCTCTATATGCATGTGACTGCATCAGAATCGCAAGGATATAATTAGAATTTCTCATAGGTCACGGAACAGCTGACCAGGGTAAGGAGGGGAGGGAGGGGGGGAGAGGATATAAAGGTCTCGTCTGGGTTGGAACAGTCTGCAAGAAACTATGCGGTTCCTCATCGTTTCACTCTCACTTGCGGCTGCAGCTACCCTGTGTGCTGCTCAGAACTTCGGTGCCAGCTGCTTCAGCTATTACCTGGAAAATACCGAATTCTTCGCGACCTGTCGGACCGACAGTGGCAGTGACCAGTCCACGAGCATCGACTTAGGATAACTGCGTCGTGAATAGATCTGGGGCGTTGGAGTGCGTTTCCTCGAGGTAAGTTATTAGTGGAGCGCGGATGATTTACGCCCTCCACTAATTTACGTATACAGCGGAGGCTACTCAGCTTCCTGTGAAAACTGCTACCTCTCTGGAACTGATCTGGACTGCACATGCGGCAATGGCAACGGCTGGCACCGACTCGTCTTCGGTCAACTTGAGTACGTTGTTTGATCTAGTTCAAACCTATTACAAAGCTGAAAAACAACTCCACCACGAACAGATAATTGTCTGACCAATAGTAACGGGGTTCTGATCTGTGCATGAAGTATATTGTCTGTGTGAACGCAAAGCCGTAGAAAGCGCGCGGCATGGTGGTGTGAAGGAAGAATTTCAATGTGTACCTATGTAAACTAGTTGAATATGACTTTGGGGATCTTGGGCAAAAAAAACACATGAGCGAATATTTATGGCAATCGAATGGGAAGGACTTTCCAACAAACTCTTCATGGCATGCCCTGATAGGCTTGCTGCAAGGTGTAAATTTTCGTGAACCAATGTTATTTCAATCGTGATCTCCGGTAACGTAGACTATTCGTATGTCCACATTGCCGAGATCGTTATACTACACGGTTGCACTACAAACAACGCAAGTTGAGGCAGGTTTTAGAGTGAGTGAGCTTCGCAGCGAAGACCATGCAGACTACAGCTCACAGTAGAAGTACAGGGCTGGGTTACTCTGGGGGAGGAGTGCAGTACTTTCAAATTTGGTTCCTGCCGTGATTCCAGAGAGGGTAATTCGTTCTGTCTGCCCGCTCAGTTAGCTTCGGATCCAAGCGCGAAACGCGTATGGTCCAGGGATTAACATATGAGTTTATCCTGGAGGGACATGTAATAGGACGCCACGAATTCTCGGCAAAGCACTGACACGTCTGGGATGGACCAGCTGAGTTGCACCGCTACAGGTCCGCAAGTTGGTGTGCGGACCAGCTAGCGATTCTTCGACCGTCCAAACAGAGGTCAGATCGCCCGCGCCCCTCGGATACCATCTCTGACGAAAGCCATGATTAGCCAATTTGGACTCTTCCGTCTGATTTCCAAAGGAGCTAAGGCTATGGGCTGGACGAGAGGAGGGTTAGGATAAGCAACGCCTATAAGCGGAGGTGGTGCCGTGGATGATCCACTGATAGAGTCTGACAAAAGATCAGTAAATGCGTACACGACATAAGGAGGGAATAAAGGAGTAAAAATGGAACGGTAATGAGTATGCTGCAGAGTGAACTCTTAGTGAAGAGTCTCTCGAATATCCAAAGAGCTACAAATCGATGTGGGTGTTCCTCGAAACTTTGTTCGTGGAGTGGCGCATCTAGGTCCAGTATCCTTGAATTCTCGGACGTAATTAGAGCCAAATTTCTTCTCCCCCGCCTTGCACTGTGAAAGGACGCGCAAACGTCGGCGAGGTAAACTATCCGCATACGTTTGCGACGCATTACCCTGGGGCATCGCATCTGCAGCGCAAAGAGGAATCCACTAACAGCCTAAGAGAATTACTCCCCATCTGACACGACGGAGGAGCATAGAAAAATGATCCTACATGGCATAACATCTACACCTACACATTTATTCCCACGTGTTATGTACTGCGCATTGCGATTTTATTTTCATTCCCGCTTTATTTTTTTGTTTCTCTCTTGCTTGCTGTCACAAATTTAGTGGTTGCAGAACATGACATGGAAATTCACTCAACCAAACAGTATAGATCTGCATCTAAACCAAGTCATTGCCACGTAGGATTAGAAAAATTATTGGAAGTCCTGTCGGAATCGTGGGACAGCGCGTGCAAAAAGGGACACTGCAAAAATGTCTCTGCAGCCATGAAGAGGTTGTGGAAGCTGTGCAACATGAAACATTGCCATCATCAGGGGAAACCTCACCAGCAAACCAACCCTACTCTGTAGGATCTGGGAGCCCCTTCCAGTCGTGTTATTTCTGCTACACTCAATTTGTCACTTCTTATTGTAATAAAACATAACGAGGATGTAGCTGGGGCCAAGTGAAAAAAATTGAAGATTTGAAAGATTTCGCAACGTTTCGCGTCTGGTGCCCAATCCATGACCTTAGCAGTAATACAGTTATCTTCATGATGTAGATCAAGCTCGACCGAGATGGTGATCTTTATGTCGCTAGCGTTGCAATCATGAGGAGGCTGGTAATGTCTGGTAGAAAAAAAAAGCGATAGGGTACAAAGTGCAGGCAAGGGTACCCAAATGTGCAGCACAGAGCGGCCAGCTGGGAAAAACGCGCGGGAATAAATTGCAGATGTTACACCATATAAATCCTGCAGGAGCTGCCGCGATCGACGTCCGAAAGCATTCCCTTCGTAAACAGTAGACAGTTGAGAGAACGAACAATAAAGGAAGCGTATCTGAATAGATACACTGCAAATGTGAACTCGTCGCCGAACTACGCGACGCTCTTGCCAAGTTGCTGGCTATTACGCTGAGGTCAACTGATATACAGTCAGGGGGGTTGACTAACAGAGAGGGAGGTTGGTACCCGAAACCTTGTTCTTGTCATACAACATGGATGCTCACCGTACTGGAAGCATGCTTGGTGCCAGAACAGGAACAAGGGAATCCGGCTACAGTGTTCAAGGAATAGTATAAGTTACCTGCAGACGGTAAGTAAAATAGTTTCCTGGCTAATCCATGGGACCTGCACGAGGCATTCACAGAAAATTAAAAAAGTCAATCAAGAGTTAGTGTTTCCATAATTTCTGATTCAGAGCTGGACGGCCACATGACCAGTCCAAGGACCTGACATATCGAGTACTAGCGGTTCATTTCGAGCGTAAAGCCGTTCGATCACCATGTACAATATATGTACGCGATGTTTCAGAATGGCAGTGACTCAGCACTTGCATGGAAGAGGTATACCAATCGTAAGTCGTGATACTTGTTACAGCTAGTTGGAATGCTGCCCAGCTGCAACTGGAAACTATTATTCCCTGAAATCCGGGCTCGACATCAGACATCAAAGAAGCAAGGGTATAAATAGAGTTTCTCACAGGTTACAGAACAGCCGACCGGAGGAAGGGGAAGGGGGGGCAAGAGGATATAAAGGTCTCGTTCGACTTGGAACACAGTTCAAGACACCATGCGGCTCCTCGTCGTTTCACTCTCTTTTGTGGCTGCAGCTACCCTGTGTACTGCTGGGGACTTCGCTGCCTCTTGTTACAACTATTACCTGGAAAACACTGAATTCTTCGCGACCTGTCGAACGGAAAGTGGCAGTGACCAGTCCACAAGCATCGACGTGAATCAATGCGTCACGAATGACCATGGAGCGTTGCAGTGCGTTTCCGCGAAGTAAGGAATTGGAACTCGAGCTGGAGTGCGGGTGACTTACCCTCCCTCCCTCCATTCATTTACGCGCACAGCGGAAACTATGCAGATACCTGTGAAAACTGCTACCTCTCCGGAACTAATCTGGACTGCGTATGCGGAAATGGCAACGGCGGCACCGACTCGGCATCGGTCAACCTCAGTATGTTGTTCAATTCGGGTTCAAACCGGAACAAAGCTGACCTCCACCTCCACCATGAACAGATAACTGTATTGGGAATAGTAACGGGGTTCTGGTCTGTTAGTTGGGCATGAAACATGCTGTCTGTGTGAACGCAAAGCCATAGGAAAGCGTGCGGCGCACTGGTGTTCAGGATAAATTTCAATATGTACCTGCGTAAACTTGTTGAATACGATTTTGGAAATCTTGGGCCGTAAAATCTTGTAATGAATAGGGCATTCACGCAGTCGGATGGGGGAAACTTTCCAACAGATTCTTCATGGCATGCCCTGATAGGCTTGCCGCAAGGTGTAAATTTTCATAAACCGCTATTATTTCAATCGTGACCTCCGGTAACGCACGTTGAGTTGCTCGCATGTCAGCATTGCCGAGATGACATACTACATATGGTTGTAGTGCAAACTAGGTGAACAGAGGCAGGCTTTAGAGTGGGTGAGCTTAGTAGCAAAGAGCATCCAAACTAGAACTCACAGTAGAAAAACGGGGCTGTCGGTTACTCTGGGGGGACCCTCAAATTTGGTTCCCGCCGCGACCAGGGTAATCGAGTGTGATGCTCTCCCGAATTTGCATGAAACTCCACTTCAGCACCGCACATTTTCTTCCAAAGAGGGTGATTAGTGCTATTCCCACTGGGTTGGGATCCAGGCGTGAAAGGCGTCTCAACGTGGTCCTGGAAGTGAGTATATTAGGCTATCTCAAGGGGACATTGAATAGGGCACTCACATGCCACGAATTCGCAGCAAGGGGAGCACATACTGACAGTGGGCACGTCTACCACGGGACTAACCAACTGAGTTGTACTGTTACATGTCCGCGAGCTGGTCGGTAGTCCAACTAGCAATTCGTTGAATGCCCAACCAGAGGCCAGGTCGCCCGCTTCCCTCAGATACCATCTCCGGTGACAGTCCATTGATGGGCCGGTTTGGTCTCTCCCATCTGATTTCCAAAGGCGCGATAAGCTGCACAAGTGGAGGGTTAGGATAAGCAGCGCCTATAAGCGGGGGTGGTGCCGCGGACGATCCACTGGTAGAGTCTGACAGATTGTCAGGAAATGCATGCGCGACGTAGGGAGGTGGGAGGTGGAGGAGTAAAAATGGAACGGTAGAAGAGAGTGCGCTGCGAAGTGTGCTCTTAGTGAAGGGACTCTCGGATATCAAAACAGCTACACATCGATGTGGGTGTTCCTCGAAACTCTGTTTGTGGAGTTGCGCATCCACTGCAGCCGTATGTGAATGTGAACCAGGTCCAGTAAGTGGTTGGAGGAATGATGTAAAGCGCGGTGCAGGAGGGTATGCATGAGTATGCCAAACACCCTCCATTTCTCGAACATAATTGGGGCCAAATTTCTTCTTCTCCGCCTTGCACTGTGCAAGGACACGTAGACGTCGACGAGAAGTATCTGGGTACGTTTGGGACGCGTCACCTTGGGGCATCGCATCCGCAGGGAAAAGAGGAAGCCACCACCAGCCTAAGAGATCTATTCCTCCATCTGATTTGCCGCCAACACGACGGAGGAGCATGGAGAAGTGATCCTGCAGGAGCTGCTGGGATCGACGCTCGAAAGCATTGCCTTTGTGAACAGCAGAGAGTTGAGAGAACGAACGATAAAATGAGCGCATCTAAACGAACACACTGGCCACGTCGCCAGTGAACTCGGCGCCGAACTACTATGTGCGCGACGCCCTTGTGTATTAGCAGAGACTCACTCAGGGGGGGTCAACAAAAAAGAGAGGTCACTAATACCCGGAACTTCCCGGCTCCGAGTCGCACTAGTGGGTTTTTCCTCAACAAACCGAACCAGTGTCCGTTCTCCACTGTCATGTCCTAGTAAGTCCCTTATTGCTTGCCATGCTCGTCGATGACCCAGCCCACCTGTCCATATAGCGTCATCTTCGGTCGTGCCATCAAAACTGAGTACCTCAGTGTTGGTACACTCGTTGCAACCGGTCTTCTCACCTACTGTTCCTTGGGCGGCAAGAAGGATGCCAGCGCAGCTGGAAAGACCATATCCCAGAGAGTAAACGAAGCTACTCCCATAAAAGCTGCATCGAAGTGCGTCATATAACCTGACCGTCATTTCCACACATTGCTCACTGGCAGCTATTTGGTAAAATCAACCGATTTAGAGAGGAAGAAGAATTGTAAGTCTTTTCGCATTATGCACCTCTCGTCGGTGACTAGAGCGTGGGTTTTCTAACGGGGTAGGTTCGACAGTATCAAGCACTTTATTAGTGAAGCAGAGAAGGATGGTGGAGGATCATCACATCACTGAACATCATGTCGTGCCTCTGGTAGACTGGACATGTGATACCGCATAGATGGACTCGCTGTTTCCTACTTAACTTCACACCGGCTCCTAGACAGTGCCGAATTACTCACCGGGGACAAAATACATCCGACAGAGCGTTCCTACTGAGGAAGTGACTTGCATGGAGAACTAGGTCAACCTGAAGCTTCCCGAAGTATCCACCTTTGAAATGCCCTACCAATTCACACAAAGATTTTACAGCTTGGCTATTTCCCACTCCGAAGGAAGAGAGACCTTCAAGATAACTGAGACGATTGTTATATAACGAATAAGTTGCTACCTAGGTGTTCCAAGTCCATTGCACTAATGAGGCTCAAGATGTTGCAGTAGTAAGTACTGAGAATTCTTCGATCACCCTCTCCTCCAGGAACTCCAATACTTCGTGATTAAATACCACAGTTGGCACTTTGATCTGTCCTGCAGCAATATTGTCCTTGCGAACCTTCCATTCTCTGTATTCGCCAAATGTGCCTTGTCGCACCACACGGATCACAGGAGTGCCAATTTTACCAGCGAGAGTTTCTGTGCGGTAGTTGTCGTTCTGCTCGAAAAGGGCGGCTTGCACTTGGGTGACTGCACTTGATACAGAAGTGGCTTTAATCGGACGCTCTGTCAGGAACATCTGGAATCAGAAGAGTGGCGCGAGACACTCACGAATATCGCCCTGCAATTCGGCAAAGAAAGCATATCGCGGAAGAGTCTTCCGATAATCCGCAGCGGCGCAGAACTCGGAGACATTCCCAAGTAACTCGGATGCAGACAGTACCACCTGACGAAGTTGATCCTCGGTGGTTAGTTCATTAGCAATCCGTAAGCCACCACTGGGTGAAGAAAGGTGTCAGCACAACCATCGCTAGTATAAAAGTGCTATGAGCCTACTCTCGGCGCTGGAAAACTTGAGTGAGCGGAAAGGACTTTCAAGAAAGTAAATCTACGCGTACTTGGACATAGTGAATGATGGGTTGTCCGTCACGAGGATCAAAACCAACAACTTCCACAATATCGTTCAAACGGAACCGCCACAAACCATCTCTAGTCGTTAGAATGACTTCGTATCTCTTCCCAACTTCGACCTTCCACTATAGCAACGATGACAGTCAGCTTCTATTCATGCAAAGAGGACTCGACGCGCACTGTTTGGATCACATTTCGCGACTCTTCGGGAGCGTCCTCGGGCAAAAATTCAATGATCTCATCAGACCCCACTACCTTGTACAGACTCGGGTCTCGTTGATCATACGGAAGAGCCAGAAAGGCTTCACTGCAGGTAATTCCAAGAGTGTTCAATGGAATGTCTGGCCCAATGTACTTCCGAATCTGCGTGAATTTTTTAAAATCAATACCCAAGTAAATCAACTCATAGCGCCATGGCTGACCTCAGGGACAGGCATGACGAACGGCCCGCTCGAGATAGCGAAGGCGGTGTGCAAACCAGGCCAGACCTTGGTGAACCATCCTGGTGCATTTGTCTCAATAGCCCGTAGCTCGGCGGTCCGTTTCGGGTCGGCTTTAAAGTAGCGCTGTATGACAGTCGTGTATTAAGCAACGGTTTCGCGCGGGATAGCAATACATAAAAATAAAAATCTTCACCCACCTCAAGGCTTTCCCTTACATGATCAATGCCCTCCAAATCCGGGACTTTGCCTGTCTCGATGCAATCGAGGATGGTGTTCCAGTTGTTTCCGATAGTGTGGCAGAAGTCGCGAAGTACAGTTGTGAACATGGCGTTAATCAACTCAAGTTGGCGCTCCTGCACGGCAAATAGCGCATGCACAAACAACATTGACCTGTAATCAGGAATGTACGAGACTGCTAGCGGTGAAGAATTATTTGGGACTGCAAGACGGGTCAGTCAACACACTAAGATGGATGGATGTAACCCACGCTTTAGCGTTTGGTAAAAGGGGTCCCTGTCGACAACCTGACGAAACGTTCATTTCAAAGCTCGAGACTCATGATGGAGCACATTTACCATATCATTAAACATACGGACGGTTCCCGTAGACATAATGCAGACAGGCATGCACCGGTCCACTTCGCCATCAACGTTCAACGCAGTAACCACTTGGCGGCTAACGAGAGAATACACTATGCAGTTCTTCCCCCCATTCTTGCTCACAGGGTTAGATGCCTTCATCACGTGTGATGTGGATGTAGACATGTGCTCTGGGTGACGATACTTAGGATAGCTCTTGGGTATTGCGCCGGATGTGCCAGTGGAGTGAACAATAAAAAAGGGCATCCCGGGAGCCATGAGATTCTCGACAGCAGATGCCTTGCATGGCTCTTCGAAGAAGCGGGAAATAAAGGGCTGATAATCGCTGTACTCGGTCAGCGAGACATTGTCGTGGTAGGCCCCCAACAGCTCATCGGGTTTAGACAATAGGTCACTGTCCAGCTGTCCTTGGGTCGTCAGACCGAGCACGTTCCGGAAGTCGGAAAGAGAGTCCGCGTCGTTAAAGTATGCTGAAATAGAGTTGGTCTTGACGAGGTACGAGAGCACTTCCTGCGTGCGCTCTTTGAGACTCCCCACGAGCTCTGCAGTGAGGGAGGAGATTGGCTGCGGGGGGAACTCGTCGGTGGTGAACATAATAGCGATCAACGCTTGAAAGAGAAGGGAAGGGTAGTTGGATCCGGTTCAACGTAGAGGCATCCACATTTATAGAGATCATCCATTTCGAAAGGGGCACAGGTTCGTTGATGTCCGGAAAGTGAACCTACTTAGCCATCGAGCAGACCACAGCACCGCCGCCACAATGTCATAGTGTGATGGACCTGACGCAGATGATTGATCGCTGGTTTATGCAGTGTTTCATCACATGGACAGCTGTTCTTGTCCAAAGCAAAGGAAACATTTACCAACCACCGCCTAGTGCTGGCTCTGGGACAGAAGAAACCTTGATCGCAATGAGACTCTCATTCGCAGCCACGCTTCCGATCCGATCACAGGATTGTCGCATCCTTATAACTATGTGATGCAAGTTTGAAGGCTCGCAAAGTGAGATGCGGGGGCTATGTGGCCTCCGTAAGATACCTCGATGTATTAGGAACTGACATGGGAACAATTAAATGCCCACTGAACACTCACGAAGATGGGCCCTTGATGAACGCTGTGTACCAATGCTACGCGACCGCACACTGGTTCGCGAGGGGCTGACGACAAGCAGGATCTGTCCATTAAAATTTCTGCCCGTCCGGTGGGGCGATGCTGCGGCCTACTGAGGGAGACGCAGTTGAGAAAGGTTCCGGTTGAACACTCATGTTGGAGTCCCGTTGCTACCCGGAATTTGGAAAGTTGCCAACGGCTGCAGGCCGGTCGATTACTACTGGCAACACTACCAACCTGGTTCAAGTCCACCGTTGTCAGCTGTCCGCTTCAGCGTCGAACACGAGACTGCGACAAGCGAAGTCTTTTTTGCTGAGAATCGTTAGAGTAATAGTCGCGGAGTCCTGCCGTCATCGTCTGTCTACCACTGCAAAACAGCCAGCTCAACGACGTCCATGACTGCACCTGGCACTCATTCATCTACGGAGACATCTAATGCGTGCACTGCCCTTCCGTCTCCACCAACCTCGCCGGTTTCTACTGCTGGAAACATCACGACGACGCGCATACGACTAAAGGCAATCAGAGCACCAAGAGCTGCGAGGAACTCTTCGATTGAATCTGTCTCGGTGCAAAGCGAGTGCCGGGACGACTCGTGGTATACTACATCTCCCGCCCCACCGGTGAAAGAGAGCGGCCATGGAACTATCACCCCCGCTAGTATAAAAGCTAAGAGGAGACAATCTTCTATAGCGTACTTTACACCCTCTTCACCCTCACCTTGGGAAAGGGGTGGGCAAAGACATCGACCAAGTTCTAGCCGAGCTGGGCTGAACTCGACGCCTAGTCCATCCACTCGCAGTGAATTACTTGAAGATGAAAATGGAGGTGGGGAGAGGGCGAGCCTCGCAATAAGCCCTTGCTCGCGCCCCTGCGGGGTGAGTGTAAGCTCGCCGGACGGGGTTGACGCCAAGGAGAGAGAGCCACTGACGCTCATCGAGAAGTGAGTCTTTTAAAAGTTTAATATTGCCTACCTGTTCGCTTCTATCCGAGAGCCGACAAAGGATGCTGGCAGCCTTTGCTTTCGTTGTATCATTAACTCTGGTCGCGATTTAATGCGTGCGTTCCTGTGGCCCTACAACTCACACCTTCATTGAAACCAGGCACGCTGATCTGTTGCACTTCATCGCGCAAAAAGAACGAAAATGTCTCGAACTACGTGAGCAGCTGGCTGTTCACGAGAATGAACTTGCAGAACGTGAGTGCTCTAGCGTCGCATTGTAGTGTAGGCGACTCCTTCATCGTTATCGTCTCTTGACTACCACAACTTGCATGTGTAAACGGTATGCTGACACCGTCTCCTTCCAGTGAAACGCAAGTGGGAACGAATCATCAATCGCACTCTGCCAATGGCAGGTAGTGGATACGAGAATCTGGTCTCTACGTCTAGTACGAACGCTGTTCTTGGAAGCACGGCCCTGGATGGAATCAAAGAAGGCGTTCGCAGGATCACTCTTGGACTTAGTGATCTGGGAGGAGGTACCAACACGGAATCATCACAACATATTGCCACACATTTTCAGGACGGAAGCAGTTCCTCTTCGGCGGGTGCTTTATCCGGATTCAGCAGTAGGCCGTTTCTCAATGAGCTCAATGTCCTTAGTTTGCGAGGCTGAAGTTGCAAATGGGAGCACCCACGTCGACGCCGTACGGTCGAGCAGCACCGACGCAATCTCTACAATTCGAAGAAGTGGCAGCCTGCATAGACGGCCTGCCCGATCGCTTCCGAAGGACCCTCCGACACCTGTTAATCTAGTGACAGGTATCGACTTGGGCCACGAATTCCTAAGCACAACCATAGTCGCAGACTGCACCTTCCCAGGTGCAATATTTGAGTTCTGCAGCTCCCGTACTGAGGCAGACCGCCACGTCACCTTCAATCCCTACGAATACTACGGCAGATAAACAATCACGACGCACTACGCTGGCACCTGCGCTTCCGCCACCGTCATCAGTCCCTGGGCTGGGCTCGCTCACGATGGGCGCAAGCGTTGGCAATCCAGTCTCATCATGGATGGGAAGCGTGGGGAAGAAACTGGGAGAAATCCAAGGTGCTGATACGTAAGTTTTCTCGTTTTCGATGCTTAATCATCTGCGCAGTTCTGTTTCTTCGCTTTCTTCTTTGGTCTCTACTCTTGTGTCTGCTCTCTCAGCAATGTAGACTGACTCGACTGTTTCCCCTGTCGAAAAACAGGCTTACCAAGGGTCAGAAACGCGCATCTGTCTTACTTGCAGATGTTTCACACTCCATTATATCTGCGCTCTCTCCATCCCCATCTACAGTGTCCGCCCTCTCGCCCACTTCAAATCCAATATCGTCCCCTCGCGCTCCCTACTCTAACGTGAGTGCAAATAGGGACACGGGGACTCTAAGGACGAACAGTCTCCTTGACGATGATGACGATAATGACACAGTTCGGATCGGACGCGTAATGGTACCTGACTCTGTCAAGGACAAGACCGGCGCCGTAGCGGGGTCAGGGAGCCAAACGCAGGAGGGCCATCTCCTTTGACGATGATGATGACAATTGGAATTGGAACTGGTAGTCCAAGCTCTAAGGTGACAAAGGAATGTACAACTACAGCAGATACCGTGGACGACAGGAATGATACTCTTTGGTGCCTATCGTTTATTTCATTATTCGTTAACCAATACCCGCATATTCTACAGCCACCTAGCCACTCAAGTCAACCTGCGAACCGAACCGACGTATCCATGAATGAATGTATAGATGGGCTTCACCCGTAACGGACAGTACGATTGCCTCTCAGACACACGCCGTCCTGAAAATCAGTAGTGAGGATCCTGTTGGATGAGCTCAGTAGCCTTCGCAGATCGGGCTCTGATTGAACACTTGAATGGCTTGGGGTGACTACGGAAAAAAGGGATCATCAGATACAGAAACTTGTGGGAAAAAAAGACGCATACTAACCTGATGGCACCACTCATGGGATTAATTTCCGGAATGACCTCAAGTCCGTTCTCAACCACCTTCGAGATATCAAAGATAGCAAGTGACATGGCTACCATGATCCACACCGAAGTGTCGGCAAGGTGCATGCCTGTAGGTATTTCAAATTCATTCATTAACCTTCGTTTAACCACAGAAAGCTGCGCAGAGACGACACCGACCAGGACAGATGCTAGAAGAGACGACGTAAGCAAGCGAATGAAAACCGAGTTATCTGACCGATCTCACCGTCGCCCAAAGCCGAAGCACATGTTGCGCGGATCAGTTTGTAATGACTTACCCTCCCCGGGAAGGAAGCGATCGGGATTAAATTCCATGGGATCGGGGTAGGTCAAGGGATCATGCAGCATGCGACTATGGAGAAGGCCATGTTTCATTATTGTGGGCGGTGGCCGCCTGCGATGGAAGACGTACTAGACATTGCTTGCCACCAGAGTTCCTTTGGGAATATAGTAGCCGTTATGAATGTCGTCAACAGTCGAGCAACGTAATACTAAACAAAATCAATGGTATTGGCAGTGAGATCATTAGTGAGACGTACCGACGGGAACGACAACATGCCAACGGAGGACTTCTTTGGCAAGAGCATCAACATAAGGCAGAGATTCACGATCTGCAAGAGTGGGGAGACGGTCAGAACCAATAACGGCATCTATCTCTGCCTGAGCTTTCTTTTGAGCTTCCGGGTAGAGTGTCATGGCCAAGAAGAATGCGAGGTTCGCAGCAACAGTCTGCGGAATGTCTGTCCGTTTGCCCTACGCATGAAATATGTCACTTACTGTATCTGTACCGCCTGTAACATCAGGGTGTAAGCACTATAACAATGCGGAAGCCACTGATAATGTACCGGCAAACATCACCCCAGCTGACCACTTGATACCGTGCTCTTCTTCAGTCGATGTTTTGCGTTCCAACAGGTCTGAGGCGACTGATTTACGAGCAACTCCAGCAGCCTGGTTGGCATAGTAAGTGAGGTCAATGGCATCTCTCTATCGGTTGATTTACCATCTGCTCCTTGACAAACTCGAATGACTGGTTAAACATATCGTGGAGCTCTACACGCGACTCTCTTGCTTTGCGTTTGAAGCCAGCACCAGGGAACCACTCTGGAAGATACGCCACTGGAAAAACAAGTCAATTGACCATACTTGCATACTTGGATGATGACTCACGAGCAGGGATCCTATCGACCATGAAGGTACCTACAGCAGTGTATTGGGCGAAGTCATCTAAGACCTTCCCAGCAAGGTCCACGAGAGGATCACCACCTTCCTGGATACAATACCCATGTGAAATACGCAAAATAATAGCCCCTGCAGTCCTGAAGCGAAAGTTAAGACAGGACAAAAGCAAGGCATATCACATTTAATGTGCATGCGCAGGTAGGCATTCAAGTCAGCAGGCTTGGCCAGGACGCGTTGCAAAAACTTATGGGTCTCCGCCTCCTCGATAGGATGGTATACAGAAACAGCAGCGCGGTTGCCAAGGACACGGTGGAAGTTCCGGCGGTGTTCGCGGAACTTGTCTCCATAGGGCATGAGGACAAGGCCTTCCTTCCATCCAACTAGCTCGCCACCCATGGGAAAGACGGGACGGTCAGAATAGATTGAGCTGTTCTTTTCAAGCACTTCGACGGCAGCATTTGCAGAGTCGAGGACAATGATATGTTGGCCAAATATCTTCAAGTATATCATGGTACCTGTAAAGGTAATGATGAGATTTCGAGGACCAAAGGTGTGAAGGATATACTCACCGAACTTCTCAGCCCAATCAGAGAATGCAAGCCACTGTTTTTCGAAAGGCATGTCCAGAAGGTTACCGAGGAGGGGAAGGGGTTTTGGGCCTGGGGGGAAGGGGTGTGTGTTCTTCTTTGATACGATGCATTTAATGAGATAAATGGCAGTACCAGCCAGCCAGAGATCTAGCCATGACATGGAAGTGGTCATGTTTGGAGGAGACGAGTTGCACAAACTTTGAGGTCAATGGGGGAGAGGAGCGATTCAAGAGCTGATGAATGAGAAGAAAGAAGGGCGGGAAAGTGTACATAGCTGTTATATGTTCTCCGCGGAGGACCGAGATTTTCGTTTTTCCCTTACCTCCTTCTCTTTAGTACTAGTCCCACTGATCTCGGAGGACGTCAGACTCCGAGAGTCATAGGTCATACTTACTAACAAAATAGCATTGACATGTCTTAACTGAACCGGAAATTTGTCTGAGTCAAACACGTATGTTGAGTGAGCCCCGGCGGTTCGCAGATATCATAGGTTGATTTAGGTGCTCAATAGTCTCTCGTAGACGGACCAAAAACTTCATGGGAAACAGTCGTTCCCTCTCGACTATGGCGCTACACACGCGAATGGTTGAGCTGAGGGACCGTCAATTCCTCTTTCCTGTTATTTGAATAAGATTTCACTCTACACGCACTACTCCTAGACGCTCGTTGACCGGTGTGGGAGAAGCTTTTGTCTGGAAAGAACTGTCTGCTTGATAGTGATGATGAAGATGACAAAGTTCACCTCAAACGTGTGAGTACCATTACAGGGCTGGGGACCCAGACACGGAGGATCGTCTCCTCCGATGACGGTGACAAAGGGATGTACATACCTAAACCTTTTAGGCCGCAGTTTCGTTATGTGCGTGCGCACTAAACCTTTTAGGTTGCAGTTTCGACAGGTAGGGGTGCACCAGAAAAATAAGGCCGTTACGCCAATCAGGCAAGAGGGGTTTGATGTGATGTTGGAGTGTGAACGTTCAATCAGAGCAGTGTGCCGAAAAGGTGCGGTTGTCGAAAAAAGTGCGACAGTATGTAACCTGAACTCATCTCATTGGTTCAACATTTTTAGCCATTGCGGGGGGGCATCGTTGGTGTTATCGTGGTTCTGTCCACCGTCTTTCCACTTTTTGGTACATATTCCGTGCAGGCAGTGTCCGCATAGAAGATACCGAGTGCTAGGCCATTCATTTAGCAAGAAGTTCGCAATTGCATGAGTCGCGTCGTGGATAACATGATGATGTAATCCTTTCCACGGACTTACCCACCTTTCGTAGCTAGGTGAATCGAAAGTGACAGTGATAGAGAAGTGATACGAGAAGATGTAGAATCTGAGGTAGAGTCTAGAGAAAGACGTAGAAGAGAATATACTTCGTAGATCACAAGGTGAGTGTGATCTAGTGTGTTGGGGGAAAGCCGCGTGACACCAGGCCGACTCGAGCGATCGTGCCGAGATGCCGAGATGGCACTGAAAGTAGATCACGTGACCAAGAAGCGGTTGAGATGAAGAAAAGGGAGTCACGTGATCAGATGAAGAAAGGAATCGAAAAAATGAGTGCGCGGAAAGATGCGGTGCGGCTTTCTGAGCGTGTAAGAGCGGGCGAGTGGAAGGAGACGAGAAGAGGCCACAAGACCGACCAAGACAGAGCTAAGCTCACAACTAAAGTGGCCTCGAGCCACCCTACACACCGGAGCTGAGATCAGAACCACAACAATAACATCCCGACCAGTCGAAAATACTGTGCATGCGCATCGTAGGTATGACGAATTTAAGAGCGAGAAGCGATGTGCGCAAGTTGGTACGACGAGCGAAATTGTCTATCACTGTATCAAGGGGAAGGAGATGGGTGAAATCAGCAGCAGAAGAGATGAACAGAGGGAGAATGCTACTGATTTGACACCAATAATCTAAAAATGCTTGGGACTTCTATCTGCCTTGAGTAGTGATGATGTCAGGTGGAACCCCCTGAAGTAAAAGCACTGTAGCCCCTCTGATGCGAAAGGCATGCCCGGGCATATCTGGGAAGCCTGCCAAGACTCAAATCTGGTTAATACATTAATGGTTAAGGAACCACATCTGCAGTTCGAACAAGTGGGCCGCTTGGATTACCGGTGCCTAATCATTTACAATACTTACATTCCATGTGAGAAATGCATCTGATTGGTCAAAAGTCCATCTGGAGGACAGAGATTGTCTACCTAACATGATAATGGTACTAGTGATAACAATTACTATGATTATGACAGTGATCTTATCCAGATGCAGTCAAACTGATCATGGTTTGTAGGATTCTAATACATCATAGTGTACCTACTATGCTACCCCATCAGAATTACTAGCAAAATGAGCCCCCCCATGGAATGTGTTGAATATCTCTTTGTCTGTGAAGTGATTGAGGAAAAAGTGGTGGTAAAGCTCTTGTGATGTAGCAGATGATATGCTAGGCAGCACCTTTTCAGAACCAAAAATGGGGACAAGCTCTAGTGCATGTGAGATCCAAGTAATGGGCATGACCAGTCCCTCTCACATCTCTCCACCTTCCTCCATATGGGAGAAGCACCTTTCCAGGGTCCACATCTGCAGCTCAGGTTGCTGCTGTGGGGTGGCAATAACATGGAAGGGCTGTAGATGAACAAGGGGATGGTTGAGATATGGAGGGGTTTTGACCTTGGAGTGTGGACATGCACAAGGCTGGAAAATAGTGTGAACTTGTGCAACATAACTGGCAGCTGTATGTGGTACATGTATTAATACAGATCAATGCACATGTGAAAGCTATGCACTGTCATTTGAGGGGCTGATTAAAACAATATCATAGATTCCATATGGGAAATCCTGAGAGGGGTGCAATGCCTGAACAACTTGACTTGGAAGAATCATAGAATCATGGAATGTGGAGTGCAGCTGAACATGGAGCTTATGCCACACAGCAATGTGATCAGAAGTACAAATGTCAAACTGGAGGTCAAGGGAATGCAATTGAAGAAATTCTAAATAACAGTCTTGAAAGTAGGGGAGCTGATATTGTTCAGTGATGTTGTTCAGCAACAGATTAGTTTCATCTGAATGTGACATGACATGGAGGGCAGTTTGAGTATGATTGGTGAGAATGCCATAAGCAAAGTAATTGCAGACTGGGTGGGGACCATGGAGTTGCCATTGCTCCTCAGGTAGGACATGCCCTACCCATGTGAATGTTGGATCTGTTGCAGCAATTTCTTCCTCTTCCATGGAAACAGCATTGATGAGGGGTATGTTACTTGAGTGTATCAATGAGTATACATCAAACTGCTGCATAGATTCTTTGCAATCAAGTAATTGGATGACTTGTTCCATGAAGTCTTTATTCTTATTAGTATGTTCGAATGGACGCTTGCAATGGGTGATAAGAAGGTGTTTGCTGACATCTGCAGTATATTGTATTAGTCCACCGTTATTATGAATTGCTGCTGCAAAGCTGTGAAAAAGCTCCAACTTTGGAATGTGGAAGTCATTTTTGGTACCAGCTGATCTTGTCTTTCTGGCATTTGCCTCAATAATGGCATCCTTGTGCACATGGAACTCCTGAAGTGATGATTCCATTTCCTTCATGGAAACATCTGTGTGTATGGGACTCTGTGCCTGGTATATGAAACTGATAATAGCATGTATGGCATGGAGGAACCATGGAGGTACACAACCAGCAATCATGGGAACAATGGTATGCTGGATGTCATAGTGTTCTCTGCCTGTCATTTGCTTGATGTGTGAAACACCACCCACAAAGTGCCTCACTGCAATGCATTTGTAGTGACACTTGAATTGCACATTGAGGTCATCCTCAAGTAACTCTCTACACCATGAGAGGACATGGTTGAAGAAAAACTTGTGGCATGTATGAAGGATTTTGGGCAGAAGGAAGATGGAGGGGTCTGCAAATGGCCAGTTTCTCCAAAATGGAAGGTGGACACTGCTAAGCTGTATCATCTTCACCTCTCTTTGAAAGCAGCTCAGATTATTCCACAGGTGAGTACCCCATGCAACTTGTTTGATGTGCTGGAGAGTGAGATTGCCTGTACGAGATGAATGGGAGTGACTGTTGCTGAACTGCTTATGGGTTGCTTCCATGACAGGGGAAGCACTTTTGGAGATGCATGCAATCATTAGCTGTTCAGGGAGGTGAGCAGTCCATGCCACTAGTGGTGTGAAACAATAGCATTAGTATCCATGGGGGTCTGGCATCATGGTTCCAATCTCTGCAACACATTTCAGGCCTGCAGTGACAATATCAACACATTTGTGCCAGATGTGCATTTGCAGGATTGTTTGGATTCCCTTAGGGACATCAAACTTTGGTATTGGCATGAATGTGACACATCATCATGAATGTGAGGTGGCTGCCATGTGGATGTTCCCTGGAATATTGCTGATACTGATTAAGAGGGGATGCATTTCTAGTCCTCCAGTCATCCTTGTCACAGGAGTCTTGTCAGATGCAGCAAGAATAGGTACAATTGTGGCACCCTCCGGAAGGGAATCCTAACAGAAGACCATTGTTAGTTTCTGTAGTGAAGTTGTATCGCTCTATGAACATACTTGGATGTGATGGGCTTTGCATGCTGAGAACCATTCACTGTACTCCTGTCCAAGAGCATTGGTGATCAGAATAGGGTCAAACATCATATTGGCACCAAAGATAGGGTTTCCAAACAAGGACCTTGCAACCTCCTCTGCATCACACCAAATCAGCTGGATAGAATCAGTTGTTTTGTAACGTTTGACTTCTAGAACAGTACTCCACCACTTTGGCCCTGAGGGAAGGGTATCCATCCACCCATGCAATTCTTCTACTGAAGTAAAGGATGGCTAGGGATTATCATGGAACTAAGGAAAATAAGTGAGATATGGTTTTATTGAGGTAAAACTGGTAGTACCCAGGGCAAAGCAAGGAATCTCTTGATCTGAGTTTGTGTGAGGTTCTCCATGAGAAACTTGGCTAAAGACCATTCTGCCTGAGACTGAAATGGATAGTACACATTGATCTCTTGCTCTTGGTTTAAAGGACCATTGTGAAACTGCTTGAATGTATTTAGTTCATTCCCGAAAAGTATACCCTGACTGTTCATGGTACCTAGCCCTTGAGTGCGAAGATCAACCAAATGAAGCTAGACGAGCATCTTGTGCTATCAAGGAATGAAATGGAATGAGTGGATAACACGTCCTGATATGCTGGATCAACATATCATGGGTCTCGAAGAACACTTTGCAAGCTATGTTTGGACACTGATATCTAGAACTCTTGTAAGTAGAAACCTGAGTCAATATCATCGATATGAACCTTCCAGGATTTGGAACTTCTGAGATATGAGCCAGTTCTGGCAGTATGTATCCTGTCTCTGCCATTGTAACTCGAAGACAGACAGACTCCATGACCAGTCTGTGGCTCATGAGTGTAGAAATTTTGCTAAGTCCTTCAAACTCTGACCAACTTGCACCTCTGCAATTGCCCACCAGAGCCAGCCACAGATCAAGGAAGTACTGCCTCTTATGATTCAAGCTGAACCCCCCATGACTCCTGTATCAATGCAATCCAGTTTTTGCAAACCCCTTGGGTCCTCCCCATGTAGCACTCAGCCCTCATCACCTCTTTCATGCAGCACTTATCCAGCCCCACTCAGCAGTCAGCTTTCCTCCCCCCTGCCCTCAAGCATTGCTCCATTGTCACCTGGCAGCCCTGAGGACACTCCCAACACCACTATGGCCCCAGAGAGAACCACAGGGAGGGGTCCACAGACTGCAAAGATTGCTTGCATAAAGTTTTCACCTTATCCCAAGCCAGACATTGGGGAGGCTTTGGAGCTCTGCTTTGTGAGGAAGTCTCTGAGAGGGGGAGCAGGAGTTATTCACCTGAACAATGCTAGAGATGTATTACTCCCTTGCTCTTTCTAACATCATGGAATCCTAATTCATTGCATCACAGTGGAAATTCCTTTTTCACAACAGTATCAATGACCTTCCAGATGTGGTGATAAAAGAGGCAGTCTTGATGAAACATGCAGGTCATGAGACTAGGTGCTATTGAGCGCTGTCGTCAGCCTGGGAGCTCAGGGAAGCTGAGCACTACAGCAATTTTATGAAATATATCTATCAAGCTGACCATAAGAAGTATGGGGAGTATCTGGGGGATGGACAAGGTGATGTGGATCTGGATCATGCAGTGGAAATAGATGATGCAGAGAACTTCCTAGCCTTCAGCCATGAGGCATACAATGAGGATATTATGACATTTCAGACTATGAACACCCAGCTTGATCAACTTGAAGAGGAAGTGCAATGCTGTGTTTCGCAACTCATCAAGTGAATTTGATGGCTCATCAGATTGCAATGCTGGTGACAGATATGCAGAGTCAGGTGTGAATGACAGCAAGGATGGCCTTATGGGTCCAGTAGATAGTGCATAACTGATGACTCAGAAATGAAAGGTGAGGCCTGCACATTTTATTTACGAACATTAGCTGATCACCTTGCAGTAGCTCTGCCATTCACACATTCAAAAATGTGGCTATGTAGTGCCTCAAATGTACTATTTACCCTCCATTTGATATATGATGATCAAATGATATCTTGTGTGCCTCAATCCAGTTTCTTCCCTCTTCCATTGCTCCCACCACCATGGATTGGCCAATTTTCAGAGACAAGGTAAGCTTTGATAGACCCACTGATTCACTAACTAACAAACATTCTATTACAGGGATACTTGGAATTGACTGACCAAGGTGAAGGAAGTCATGATGGTCTTGACATCAGCCACCATGTTCCCCCAGAGCTTGACACTTGAATTGATTGTTACAATGTTAGCACAATAAATACCATGTATCATCCCCCATCAGCAAACATCTATCACCTGCCTGTCTATGGATATCAGCTATACTCCCACATCTCTGTTCGATCCATCATCAATCTTCACACCTCGTGAGATCAAACAACTTACCTGAAAACCCACATCACCTGGAACTGGTGATTTCCACCTGCAGTACACAGTCATGGATGCCATGTGACAGAGTATTTTCTGCTCATGTTGTGATGGCAGGGGACAGGCCAAACCAGTGGGGGGAAGTTGCCAGAGGTGAGGAATTTGACTGTATTCACATCATTCTGGATAGGGAACAACCAGTTCAAAACTCAACCCAGCTGACCAAGCACATCCATTTACCTGTCCTCCCTACTGACGATCCCCCTGCAGCCAATGCCCTGGCATTAGTCCCCATTGATCTCCAGCCAACCACAACTACATGTATCCCTGACTACATCATGAAGCACTTCAAGGATGAAGCCAAGAAAGAACTTTGTTGATACTTCATGATGGAGTGACCAATACAGATGACTGCTGATTCCAAGTATATTGAAGACTTAGCAATTCATCTTGTGGAAGGTGTATTCAGGTCCTCAGGCAGTGAGTACCAGATACCAGGAATGACTCATTACCTGACATGGAGTAGAAACTTGGTTGGATTCAAAGAAAAATATGAAGACATTCTGTGATAATGCAAAACACATGCTTCACAAGGTCACCAGTACATTCAAGGCCATCACTCGAATTAACTCTCAAGGATTCATATAACTTGCATGTGCCCATTAATGCACCACATATGACTTGGATTGCTGAGACATGGAGAACCAGTGTGGAACCCCTCCTTGTCAGATGGGATTTTGTCAACAAAGAGGTTCTGGTATGTCTTTCCCCATGTGCAACTTTATGGCAGATTAATGTTTTTGGTAGCTTCCAACAGGACAAATGGTGACTGGCTTCTTCAACTGCCATGCTGTGAGCACCATCATTCACTGAAGCCGTATTCTTGCTTTGTCGCAAACTGTCCTCTGTCATCCCCCCTGACACAGAAAATCTCGATCATCTTATCACCTTCACTGTCACCATCATTCGGTGGGGGCTCACAAACCTCGTCAGGGGCTGTGAGGCCGAGTTCGAGGCAGATGTATATGAACCTCACTACAATAATGCCCTTCGACATATTCAGGACCTTAGGAGCGAAGGGACCTATTACTACACTAGACCATTTCTTGGAATTTACTGCTAGCATTTTGGCGCATGGAAGGGAACTCATAGAACACTACTCCCAGTGTACATAAGCTTGTAACAATCTATGATGACTAGTACTACACATGATAATCAGTGTTCTTGTCTCCAATGACAACACTGATAAGATGACATTGGTGCTAGGATCTTGATAAGGCCGTGGTAAATAAGCCATACACTTCTCATAATTCACAAGCGAAGCTAAATGGAGAAATTCTAAACAGGGAGTGGTATAACCTGCTCACTTGCTCGTGTAGTTTTGCAGATGCAGGGGTGGGTCTGCGGAGATTATATAAGTGGGAGTATCAAGTGCGCTTTCTCATCTTTCGAGCATCTGGGCACTTGCTGAACCTTGGCTACTATCCCCCATTTATAGGGAGTCAGTTTTCTCGCCTTTCGAGCATCTGGCTGTTTGCTGAACTTTGCCTACTATTTCCCATCCACAGGAAGTGCGTGTTCTCCCCTTTCGAGCATCGGGCCGATTGCTGATTTTTGACCTGCTATTCCCCATCCAAAGGAGGTGCGCGTTTTCTCCTTCGAAGCATCTGGCCCGTGCTGAGCTCTCTCATCCACAGGAAGTGCGTGTCCTCACTTTCCGAGCTTCAGGCAATTTGTTGAACCTTCCCCTGCTATTCCCCATCCACAGGAAGTGCGTGTTGTCAATATTTGAGCATCTGGGCGTGTGCTGAGCCTTTCTTGTTATTCCCCACCCAAAGGAAGTGGGTGTTCTTACCCTTTGATTGTCTGGCCGTTTGCTGACCCTTGCCCTAGTAATCCCCATACACAGGCAGTGCGTAGTCTTACCTTGGGAGCATCTGCCCGTTACTGACCCTTGCGCGGCTATTACCCATCCAATAGTATGTATGTATTTTCGCCTTCGGAACCTCTTGCCATTTCCTGAACATTTCCCTGGTATTCCCCATACGCAGCAAGTGCGTGTTCTCAGTGTTCGAGTCTTGGGTCGTTTCCTTACTCTTTTCCTGCTATTTCCCACCCACAGCGTGTCCGTGTTCTCCACTTTCGATCGTCTTGGCGTTTGCTGACCCTTGCTCTGCTATTCCCCATCCAAAGGCAGTGCGTGTTCTCACCTTCCGGGCATCTGGCCATTTGCTGAACCTTTCCTGGTATTCCCCATCTACAGGATGTGCGTGTTCTCACCTTTCCAGTGTCTGGCCATTCCTTACCCCTTTCCTGCTGTTCCCCGTCCACAGGAGGTGTGTCTTATCACCTTTCGAGTGTTTGGCCGTTTCCTTACCTTTGCCCCTGCTATTCTCCACCCAAAGGAAGTGCGTGTTTGCACCTTCAGAGCATCTAGCCTTCGCTAACCCTTGCTCTGCTATTCCCCGTCCAAAGCTAGTGCGTGATCTCGCTTCTCGAGCGCTTGCCCGTTTCCTTACTCCTTGTCCTCCTATTCGCCATGCACAGGGAGTGCGTGTTCTCGACTTGCGAGCATCTGGCCTTTGCTAGCCCTTGTCCTACGATTCCCCCTCCAAAGGAGGTGTGTGATCTGACCTTTTGGGCCTGGGGCCGTTTGCTGAACCTTGTCCTGCTATTCTCCATCCGTAGGAAGTCAGTCTTTTCACCTTGCGACCATTTGGCCATTGGCTGATCCTCGTCCTGCTATTCCCCACCTACAGGAAGTGCGTGCTCTCACTTCAGGAGCATTTGGTCTTTGCTGACCCTTGTCCTTCTATTCCATCCACAGGTTGTGCATTTTATCTTTTGAGCATCTAGCTATTTCTTGCTATTACCTATATGCAGGACCTGCGTGTTGTTGCCTTCTGAACTACTACACCCTCCCTGAATCTGTTGCTACTTCCATGAACCCATTCACCTTCAGCCAATGAATGAAGCTGCCATTTGCTATTAGTGTTATGAAACCCTGTGTTCCTGAATGTATGATTACAATCAATGCCATTGCTGAGTGCCCAACCCATATGTGTGAACTGCATCAACCAATTATGCTACAGTTTTTGTAGATGTGGTATTAGCATTGAACATTTGTTTTCTGAGCACTCTGATGCATATCTTATTGGTATTGTGACTAGATAGAGAAGCAGGCTCAGTGGTTTGCACAATGTGCTAGTGTTCCAAATGTATCTATGAACCTAGGCAGAGAATCAGGCAAATGTGAGCTGTTAGCCTGTCAGGCTACAGTGAAGAACAAAACTGTTGCAATGTTTGCAATGTGTGCATCAATGATGTGGCTCAGCCTATTCTACATAGGGAATCATGACATATATACCATTGGAAAGAGGTGACTCCCAGCTTTCCAGAACACTAAGGTATATTCCAAACAAATCCATTCATCCTGAGATACATTGAATTCTTTCTAAAAGGTGCATTGCAACACTTTTGTCCCTCATCAGTAAATCACTTTTGCTGGCCAGAGCTGTCCAGAGCTGTCCAGCACTGGACAGATTCCCTAGGGCTGCCAGCACACAAAGTGGTTTACTGATGCTGACTGGTGAAATAGTGAGAAGTAACTTTTTGAGGGCATGAGGGATGGAAAAATTCCTGGATGCTATTAGGCCCAGGTCTCCAAACTCTTTGTGAGCAATGATCACACTGGACTGACTGTTCCAGTCACATGGGTTTTTGCACCTTTAGGGGGCAGTCATTTCTTTGGGGTATTGTGTTCATCATGCTTTTGAATGTCAGGCAGATGACATTAAGCTGCATAATTGGGTGTGTGTCTGTCATGGACAGTGGCATTTTGTCATAGCCATGTCTTGACCCTGGCTGGACTTGGCCTCACACTCATTCAGTCTGGCCTTGGTTTCACCAAAACTCTACCTCCAGTCAGTCTAGCATGGTTAGCACTGCAAAGCAGTGCTATTGTGAAGTGTCATCTCAGTTGAGTCCAACCTGGTGTCACACACGGTCACAACCATGTGTTTATCCTAGGTCCTCACTTACTCTGCACCTTGCTCTGCTGGTTATTCACTCACTCTGCACCAACTCCACCCACCCTCTGTCATTTATGAACCTTCTCTGCTCCAACTGCTGTCAGACTTGCACTGGTCTACCATTTGACCATACAGACCATTCCCTGAAGGGTCATGTGACCTCCTTTTGGACTTCTCCTTGACAGCACACAGTCAGGTACTCTGCAGCATGCACACTGCATGGTCCAGCACCTAGACTGTTTCCTTTTTTGTTTGTTCTATGTTACCCATTGCATGTTTTCTGCCTTCCCTTCATTCATTGTCTAGGAAGTTTTTACTTGAAAATTTATGAGTCCCCATATGTCAGTTCTGATTCTGATTACTGTACCTCTGTAGTAGTATAAAAGCATGTACCATACTCCACTGTTCCTCAGTACAAATATCAACTTAGTTCCTACTCCTTCTCTCTCCATCTTCTGTCTGTTGGAGTTATCTCTGACTGTCCATCCGGTCTCTACCTTTGAAATACAAGGGCTGAGATCATGCAAGGGGGTAGCACACAAGCTAAACCCAATGCCCTCATTCCACTCCACCTCTGTCTTGGCAGACTTTGTCCCTGCCAACACTCTGCCAGTTGGAGTTCTGTGCTTCTGTGTCAGACTTGTTTCCATACCTCTCCCCAGACCTTGTCTAGTGTTGGAGTTGGTCAGCATAGGCCTGAACTTGACACACATTAAAGGTGTTTGGTGATGTGGACATGGATACTGTTGATGACTGGAGATGAAGACTATAGCCTTCATGCATAGAATGACAGCCAAGAATGTTAGCAGTCATCCTTCACACAAGAATGAGTCA